TTTTTAAAGGAAAGCTAGTTTGAACCTTAGTCTGAAAGAAATATATTCTAGTTATATTTAATTTCTTTCTTAAGAAAAGACAAATGTATTATCTCCGCATTAAAGCCTCAAAATAATTGCTACTGACGTCTTTGCTTATTCGTCATTACAGTAGCCTCTTATAAATCCGATTATGGCAATTCTTTTGAATCGGCAAAGTCCGGAACTCTTGCGATAGCTCTCAATAAAGACCGATGATCAACACTTGTAAAATGTTCTCATAATTCACTTATTGACTAACCGACAAACCGCCTTTGTTTAACTTATTTATTTACGGATGATTTAATATATGAGAGCACAAAACATATTGAGTGATGCACCCATTTGTTAAAGAAGACGCTGATAAGAAGCCACAAAGCCGAGGGTTGAACTGAAGTAACCCAACTGAATTGCATGTGAATCGCATCTATAGTGCAGAAGTGTCGCTTAAGTCGAATAAAATCTTCAAACCTTTTCATCTTGGGAAATCATCGGTACAGAATGCAATGAAAGAGAGAGTGTGAAATGTGGCAAGTCTTCCGAGAACGACGAGCTCGTAACTTGATATGAAAAGTTTACAAGAGGCCAAGCCCGCAAGAACAACGACAGCCGATAACAAAGAGCCGGAATGATATGTTCGTGGACTGGAGGGCATGTGCACTTAATATTTCAAGGGAGTGTATTAAAAAGAGAGCAATTATGTTTAAATAATTTATTATGTGTATTAATTTCAAACCGAGCTTCATACAATTTCTGTTTCAGACGCTACCCCGCTTGATAAAGAGTTTCCGCTGTTTTCCGACTCTGTAGAACTGATACAACCGAATAAATTATGATGCACCATATAGGGTAACATGGGGGGTATTGGCATTCACTTGGCTTTCCTGGAAATGTTTCGATTGTTCCCACACCTGTTTCTTTATCCACAAGTTTACATTATGGAATTTTCACTCATTCACGAATTCTTTTCCTCGGTATTGCTTAATCAGCTGGTTGTATAAATAGAAAAATTCGGTAGTCCCAATGCCACTTAATTATTTGCACTCTTCTGTACTCACTAAAACAGTGCCCAAAGCTGTTTGTTTATAATAATTTAAAATGCGTCCAAAGAAATCCAAAACACAAGTGTGCTGTTTATTTAGTTTCGTTGTTGCTCCCTGGCCAAGTTTGTGTTTTTTTTAATTTTGGCGCTGTTTGCTACCTAATGGCCGATTGTTCAGTTGGCTTTGTTTACTAATTTGGCCGAAAAAAAACCCGTTTCTATTTGCGGATTTTTGTTGCCTTTCTGCAGGCACGAACTCATCCGAATCAAATTATTGGTAACGTCATTCTAACAAAATAGGAAAGTAATTTGTTTAAAAGCTTGTATGTTGGCTTAAATTTCCTTCAATCAAATGTATAACAAATAAAATCGAACATTTTATTGTGGAAAACTTTTACGGCTCTTAAGGCAATTCTATTTGTAACCTATGCAGAATCAGAAAAAAGCGAATCGCCAAGAGAATAGCACTTAACCCCAAGCGAAGACCCTCGCATCAATGATTAGACTTAATTGTGTTGACCCAAGCATCAAAGTGCTCCCAGTCAAAGTTTAACATCTGTAGATCGCGTGCCAGTAAGGCATTTTATGTTTATTACTCACGCATGCGCCATCCTAAAAGCATAAAAATTCTTTGTCAAGTTGACATTTTATTAAAAATAGCTGAAAGGGAATATCTCCCCCTAGCAATTACAATTTTTGTGTCAGAATTTTTAACAACTTGGTTCTTTCCCTTTCTGCACCTTTGCAAATTATCTAAAAGTTATCATCTATTTATTGTGAACTGATAAGTCCAATATTTTTATTGTTTTATATATTTGATATCAACAGTAAATTTGGTCGTTTTTTTAATGTTTGTTGTATTTGTCATCTTGGATGGTTTTGTGGTTAAAAGTTAAAAAATGCAACACCGTCGAACGGTAAAAGGTTGATGAATGTCACAATGTAACCGGTTTTAACTTTTCTTTCCTTTATTTCTGAATAATTTGAGATGCAGTTCGCTGGGCTTAAAGATGTAATTTGTTGTGGGTAGTATCGTAGCAGGGTTTCCAAGCCGATGAGTCACCGACAAAAGTGTGGTCTAGGTCTTCTAATAAACGCTTCCACAACTCAGATTCGCAATTAAATCAACTGAGTTGTGTGCGAGACATCAACAAGTGCCGGTCGATGAGTCATACCCCAAACAGTGAATAATTCCTGGTATTCGTATGAGTTTTCTGCTTAAGCGGAGACGCGGAGACCCCGAGAATCCCCAGCCACAATACGAATACCTAACGGCATCTCCATCTCTCATTTGTAAATCGGTCCAATGTCTTTTGATTTTGGATTTTGTGTTGTTTTGGAGGCTGGGTAGGGAAATCTAGTTTATGTTTTGGGTCAACTGGAAACCGACGAAACCAGTTTTAATTAAAAAAGAAAAATTTATGAAACAAATGCGGTTTTGTTACTCTGTTTTTGTGGCTGGACGACAGATGGTGAAAGTCTATTAGTTTTGGCCAGGCCTTTATTTAATTGTTATATAAGCGCGGACAGCCATAAAAGCACATTTATTTCCATTAGAGATTTCGCAGAATCAATTGCGCTTGATGAAGTCCAATCCACAGTTGGCCCCTCGTAAAAGCTCGAATTCCCCGGTCTCTTGTCGTTGTGTGGCCTTTTTTGTTTTAGCTCTCGATAAGATTAAACCATTTTGAAGTTCAAGTGTGATATGGATGTGTAATCAACAAGGCTAATGCAGGTGGCCCATTTTTTATTTTGTAAAAAAATATATATTTCTTTATGATTTTTCGTTCTTTTTTCCCATAAGAATAGTTTGCTGACAATTTTATCTTAAACTTTAATTGAAACTCAAGCTAGAAATATTTTTTACCACTTACTCAGCAATATTTCCAGCTAATGATATCTCTTGGAGTTAGTCAATTTTTTTATATTTTCTGGATCGGGAGGAGGGCTTTATACATTGTTCTTCTTTTTGCTTTATGTTGCAAATAAGCTAGGGGCAGGGCCTGGAGATTTCCGGTTGCCTCAGCCGCAGGATGAAAGTGTGGGTGCGCCAAGATAAACACAGAGCACCAACATCTGCCGCCAAATGGCGCAATCTCGGGGATCTGAACTGTCAAGCCAGCAGCCAATGTGACGCCTCTATTTTTCCCTCTTTGCAGTTATTTCCCAACAAAGACCAAGCAAATAATCGGGAATGACGACGAACATCTCGAAGAGTCCGCGCCCGCTGAAAATAACCATCGTGGGCGATGGCATGGTGGGCAAAACTTGTATGCTGATAACCTACACACAGAACGAATTTCCAGAGGAGTACATACCCACAGTGTTCGACAACCACGCCTGCAACATAGCCGTAGACGATCGGGACTACAATCTGACCCTCTGGGATACGGCCGGACAGGAGGATTACGAAAGACTGCGACCGCTGAGCTACCCAAATGTGAGTATGATAAGGGATACAAATTCCTGACACTCATTTTCTTCTTACAAAATAAATTGCATACATAAAGGCGGGGCTATTTGTCTTTATCGGATTCTTCAATCTTCAATCTTTTCTCAATATCAATAAAAAGTGTTTTCGGCTTGCAAGAGTAGTTTCATTTCCATCTTAAGATCGCTTCATCTCGAAAAGCAAACTTAAGGGTACTTTCTTCTTGATTTCAAGAACTTTTTTTCTCAACTAAGTTAGGTCTTGGCTTACTTACTTTGTTTTTAACCGTTGCTAATCGATTGTGTTTTCCTTTTCTTCACCCAGACAAATTGTTTCCTGTTGTGCTATTCGATCAGCAGTCGTACCTCGTTCGAAAACGTTAAGAGCAAGTGGTGGCCTGAGATCCGTCACTTCTCAGCCCATGTTCCCGTGGTTCTGGTGGGTACAAAACTGGACTTGCGCATCCCCAACTCGGAGAAGTTCGTGACCACACAGGTTCGTTAATATTTGAAATAAAATATTTACTATATTTACTAACTCTTTCTGTCATTTTCAGGAGGGAAAGCGACTGCGTAAGGAAATCCACGCCTCCAACTTGGTCGAGTGCTCTGCCAAGAAGAAGCAGAACCTGCAACAGGTCTTCGAAGAGGCGGTTCGAGCCGTTGAAAGGAAACCTAAGACGACGTCCAAGCAAACGTGCACCTTACTGTGAACTAAGTGTATGCTAATGTTTAATATTGTTATTATGCTTAATGTATTATGTAACTAATTTGTCTGACTATTTGTGCTTTGTTTTCGCAAAAAAAACTGTGTAGAAAATTTAACGTTAAGTTATTATTTAAGTGCCAATTGTTTGAAAACCTTATATCTTACGTGCAACCAAAGGGCATTACTTGTAAAAAAGAAGAAATAAAAACCAATATAAAATAAATATAATATACGCAAAAAATACAAACACGTTAAAGGATAGGTCACTGAATTTACATCCATATGGCAAACAATCAGATCTATTGTACATTTCAATAAAGCCCTAGTCATTAAAACATCTTTTTCTTTTTAATTTAAAAAATCGTGACCAAATTGAATATTAGATCAGCGGCGAAACTCTTCCACTACCAACCATTTCGTCATATAAATTAGACTTTATGTCTAATAATAATAATTTTAAAAATAAATTAATCAATTTAATGTCATAACGGTATATTAAGTGCAGACATGAACCTTTTTGTGTAGAATTAGATTGGTGCAGAACCATGACTGAACCGACTATCGATAACATTAAAAATAGTGGTGTTACCGTTCGCGGTTTGGCGGGACAGTATCGATAGACAGTTATAAAGTTATCAATTTCAAAGTACTTGTTTAAATATGAATTGGTAACTATTGCAAATCCATATCTGAAAAATCTGAAAATTGAAAATCCTCAGTTAAAGAATAGTTTTCATCTCCGTATTCTTAAGATTTAAATAATTTTTTTTAAACTGTTAAATCAAATACCAAACGAAAAACTCTTTTAAGATTTCAAGTATTTATTTTAATGTCCCCCCTTAAACTATGACTTAACTAGTGGCTTCTCTCTCAAACGAGAATAATACCCTGAGACTTCTTAAATTCTATTTGAGCTTTGATCTCCGGCCAGATTCAACGCGGTCTTCTGGCCACGCCCCCATCCACGCACATATTACGATCACTGAGGCAGGAGGCGTAAGCGAGGGCGTGCGGAATAAAGTGCTGTTCGTAGACTCCAGTGAAAAGCTGGGCATAAGGCCCACTGGCGAAGACGGCGACGTCATCGCCGCCATGCGTCTCCGATTCCAGGGGAACTGTGCTGGGGAACATAAAGTCCTTGTTCTTCATGTTGATGGCCCTCAGATTCTTCCTCCTCACAGCACCTCCTTCCCTCAGGTAGTTGCTATCGTAGCCCGGCCCATTGGCATAACTCAAAGTGGCATATGGCAGATCATCCGCCGCCAGCTGTCCGTCGTTGATCCCGAAGATGTCGTTCTTCCTGCTAGAATAGCCCGCCAGCGACATGGTGTGCGAATGATCCGAGCTGACCACAATCAGGGTGTCATCCGTACTCGTGCTACTCCGGGCAAATCTCACCGCCTTGTCGAACTCCGCCGTCTCATCGATGGCCCTCAAGGCCAGGGTGTCATGGTGACCATGATCGATCCGTCCGCCCTCCACGAACAGAAAGTAGCCACGTCCCGCGCTCTGCCGCTCCAGGATGGCCATGGCCGCCTGAACCATCTCCTCCAGTGTAGGCTGCTCCTCCGGCTTGGCGTCCAGATGGTAGGCCATGTGGTAGGGGGCGAATAAGCCCAGCACACGAGAAGTGTGATTGGACAGTCTGAGCAGATCCCTGCGATTCTCCACATAGTGTGCACTATTCGTGTGCTGACTCTTCCACTCCTCGATGAGATTGCGTCCATCCAATCGGCGACCAGGTGCTCCGCTGCCATCTATCACACTTTTGGGCAGAAAGTTCTCGCGACCACCGCCCATTATCACATTGAGCTTCTGACCCACCGGGCTGTTTATCAGCTGGTAGGCGGCATCTGGACACAGATCGGGGTCACCATTGTCTCCAACGACCTCGGCGTCGTTCTCCCAGTTCCGGTTGGCCAGGTGGGCGTACACTCCGGCTGGCGAGGCATGGGTCACCGAGGTGGTGGTGACCAAACCCGTGGCCATTCCCTGTTTCTGGGCCCAGGCGGCAATGGACGAGACATGGTGGGCGGTTTGCGCCTGCGCCTGGCAATCCTTGAACTGCACCGCTGCACTCACTCCAATCGTTCCGTAGTTGGCCTTGACTCCACCCAGATAGGCAGTGGCTGTGCAGGCGGAATCGGCCACCTGCATATTGGCGCAATACGTTTTGCTGAGACCCACATACGGGAACTGTTCGAAGGCGAACTGCTTCTCCTCGCCGCCGAGATAAACGCGACCCGCTGTGATCGTCGGTATGGACATGCCGTCGCCAATGAAGAGCATCACATTCCTGGCCAGCTGGGTGTTCAGCCGCAGCTTGCTGTCCAGCTGCTGGTCCAGCGTCTGAGCCGCCAATCCCTGCCAGTACTCGGCGTAACGCTCCTCTGCCCGCAGGGCATCGAACACGATCTGGGGCATGGCTCGCTTGGAGCGACCTCCCATTCCGGATGGGGATACGGATCGGGAAAGGGAGAATACCGGATGCATACGCCGCTCGGCATCGTGTGAGGTTTCTGTAAGTACAGTTGGTGGGTTTAGTTTCGCCAGGTAGACAACACGGCTACAACACTTACCTCCTCCACTGACTAGAGCACTCAGGCCGAGGAAGAACAAGAACTGCAGGCTCATCTTTCTAGTTTTTTGGGTCTCCGAGCTGGCTGTACGCTGCCCGGCACGTTTTCTCAGCCACTGATAGCCGTTAGCACGAGACCTGCGATATTTATAGCGCTCGGATCGGCAGGTCCGAGATTTCATAATGCTATGCCGCCATCGACCTGACCGCCGGCTGATAAAGGAAAAGGCCCGCTGCCTTGGTTGTACTCCGGTTTTGTTTTGTACCCAGGGAGCTGGGCACAGTAGAGCCTTCTTAACAATGAAGAAGTTTTAGGTAAAAATAGGAATATGGCTAGGGTCATTAGGAATTGGCTTCATGGCGCAATAGCTCATTGATAAAACTTATAAGAAGTGATTTCTGAGATTTTTGTAATTTTTATATAGAATGTTGTAAGATCTCCATAATATTTATAAATTTATATCATATAAAAGTTAAGTATAAAAATACAAGTTAAAATAAACCATAGTTCTGAAATCATCACAATTTTCTTTAGCTCTATTATTTTTTTCACATAAAGGATTTACAAAAGATTCATTAAAATTGGTACAGTTAAGGTGAATTTTTGTAGTTCGGTGTTAAGTCATCTTTCGTAATTCTTTTGAAATTATTAATAGGTGGAAGTTTTAAATATATTATTTCCGTGTTTTTTTAAATTAAAAAAGGCCTTAGCTTTTTGAACCTGCTAATAATTTTTCATTAAATGATTTAAAAATGTTTACTTAAAAGTTATAGAATTAGGGTGCATTTTTGTAATTCGGTGCTGAGTCTTCTTTCCTAAAAAACATCCTTTTTGAATTATTGATAAGTATAATTTATAAATATATTGTTTCTGTGCTCTTTTACATTGTTTTTTCTCTTTTATAATATTTATAATCTAGACCTAATCTAGGCCCTAGCTCTCTGAGCCTGCGAGTGCCTACTGTAGATATTATTAGAAATCTGTTGTTTTTCAGCGGCATTCGTTATCATCAGACGCCGGCGTCGTTTGCCTGCTATCTCCGCCCGTTTCCCGCAATCGATTTGAGATCGCTCCGCCCGTTTTCCTGCTCGTCTGCCTGCCGCATCCGCCTGCCTTTTTTCGAACACGCGAGTTCTTCACGTGATCGGTTCTTTGCTGATTGTTGCTCTGGCCCGATTTTGTATTTCAGGCTTCCAGTGAAGTCGTAAACACAGGCTAATTACCCCTAACCCTAGACCGAAAAACAGATTTGAAAATGCGCGCCAAATGCCACTGTGAGTGGCATCCCGCCGCATTAAATATGGCAAGTCGCGTAGAGATTTATAGCGCAAGCGCCAGCATCAAAACAATGAGCAGGAACCAGCCGATTGTATCTGCATCTCGCTTCCGCCCACCGTCAGATGTATCTCGAGGTACAAGAATCTCAGAGTGGCAGTATCTCAGTATCTCGGAGCACGAGTATCTCAGAAAGCATCCATCGGCATCCATCGTATTTCGGATGCTGAGCGAGAGCTTCTGCTTTGGCATCGCGCACTTGGCCAAAATAGTTGTTGGTTCGCATGCAAAACGTTAAAATCGCATTAGCTGAAAGACATTTTTATACCAACGGCGCGTTTTTAATTTTTTCTACACTACAACAACATACAAAAAATATATAAAATAAAGTAGACAAAGTAGATGGCAAAAAGTAAAACCAAATAAAAAAAAGCAAAAAAAAAAAAACAACGAGCATAGCTACACTAAACTTTTAACGTTCAAAAATTCAATGCGTACACATAAGAATAAATAAATAAGCGCGTGTATGTATGAATACATATAATAAATGATATTTCAATAATTTTCAAACAACAAAAGGTTCGAGCAACTTTCTGTGAAAAAAGTAAAACATAAAAAAGTGCTGGTGAAAATATGAGAAGAAAAACGCAAGAAACCAGAAGTGAATGGCATTGATTTTTTTTCAAAATACTTGACAGAAACCTAAAGTTCTAAAGTTGTAGATTTTTGTGCATTCGTGTGTATAACAACTGTATAAAATGCAAGGACTTTTGGCCTTCGCTTTTCTTTTTTATGCATGGGATCAGCAGGGAAAAGGGTTTTAAAGAACATCGGAGATGTAATGCCACACAGGAAAATTCATACATAATACAATACAGTAAATTGCTAACTGTGTTTCGGGCTCCCAAATTCGTTCGTGTGTTTGTGTTCGTCGGGATTATGTGACTCTGCGTATACATATTTACAATGTCGGTTGGCAGGGATATACGATATATATATATGTATATATACCTATAGCCAAGTTGGACGCCCAGCTGGCTGCCAACATAGTTGCACGTTTGACAAACGATTTTGGTGTGTCCTTTAAATGCTTCGCACGAGGATGCTGTGTTAATTTACCTTAAAAACTTCTTAAAGCTGAACAAACCTCGAAAAATATAGGGGAAAACCCCGTGCTTAAAGGGAAAATTTCTTCTTTGTGGTCGCACAACAATCTGGCAACTTTCAATTGCCTTCATTGACAGTTAAAACGAAAGTTATCAAAAACACGAACAACCAGCGAAGTTGTACCATGATAATAACAGCAGCAGCAGCAACAGCAACAACCATGGAGCGTTGACAACTACAGCAGCAGAAAAAAATTCAGAAGTCAAACACGAGACAACAACAACACAAACACAAATTAAATAACAACGAAAAATAAAAGTAGCCAAAAACTTTGCCAAGAGACACTCATACAGACACACACACACACACATACGCAGAGGGGGCGTTGGGCGGGGGGTGTGGCCGTCCTTTATGGGGAAACAAACTTTTAACATAGTAGCCCACATACATATACAAACGTACGCCCGTAAATTTTGCGCACACACACATACACACGAAAAAACAGAGATGAGGAAAAACAGAAAGCCCCAAAGAGAAAAGGAATCCAAGCGAAGGATGCGAGGGGGCGAAGGGGGCGCCAAAGGACGATTGCACACTGTGTCAATTCTGTAACAACATTCGGAATACTATAATGTAAAATGGAACATACCCGTATCTTACAATGCCACTACAATGTTCCAATAATGAGATGTCTGCGAGAGTGTGGGTGCATTTACAGTGGTGTTTGTGTGCATGTTGTATGGCTGTTTTCGATGAGTTTAAAGTTTTCCCATTTTTAAATACATAACTTCTATTTTCAAAACGTGTCTACATTTTGTATTAAATATAAACATTTTTCATGATTTGTTTCCAATTAAAAATCAAACCTAATTTTAGGAAAGATTTAATTTATTGATGGATCTATTTATTATTTAAAAATTATTATTTGACTCAAATAAAATATTTTGATAACTACATTATTTTAATTGTAATTATATAATGTTATTTGGAATGAAATCAATTGGGTTTTAATTTCTATTCTGATCTCAAAGTTCTTGAAACATAATATAAATAATTGAAATAATTTTAACAAGTTTGATTATGAGAATCAGAAACTCTTAATTTTTATAAGGATTTGAATAATGTTTAAAAATATCCATTATTTTAATTACTCAAAATTAATTCCTGGAATCCATTAGAGTAATCCTAAAAATGTAGTTTTCCCTTGGGTTGAGCACATATATTTTCGTGGGAATTCCCCAGTTTGAGTCGGTGATATGCTAACTCCATTCCATGGTACATCATCAGTGAGCATTGTTGTTGAGTGGCAAAGGATGCGCGATGCGGGACGCACGAGCGGTTGAAACGAACGCACGACCAGAGCAGTGCGGCACGACTGCTTTCTCCCCGCTTTCTCTCTGGCGCCACCCCACCCCAGCCCGGCCCCCTTTCAGCCACCCACTCCGCCCCCAAAAGCACGCGCTCCAGCAGCGAGTTAACTTTGACGTTATGCTGTAAGCGTTGGGTGCTTCGTTTAAATGAGTGCTCGTTGAATGTGTGAGTAATTGGAGGGATGCTGGCTGGGCGAAAAGGGGGGTGGTGTGTAGTTCGCAGGGGGTGGCTTGGTGGGCTGGGGGGTTTTCGTGTGTCTTTGGGGATTGCTCGGAATGGAAGAGCAAACGACAACAAGCAAAACATTGATGTTACTGGCGGAGGTTGCCAGCAGACGCTGGCTGGCTTTTATAGTTCGCTAAAGGAGTGAAATGGCGCCAGCTGAAGATTTATGCATGTATTTGTATTCCTCTGTATGTATTTGCCTGTGTGTGCGTGTGTTTGGGAAATTATGAAAGCATTTGTGTGCGAGTTTGAGTAAACATGACCACTGTTTGGTTGGGGGTTGTTTTGGTTGCCGCACGTCCCACACGGCGTATGTGTGTTTTTGGGCTGTTTGGTGTATCTGTCCTGTGCTTGTGTGTTTGCCCACCTTCGCTGCATTTGCTGATTTTAAGGCCGCCGCATATTGTTAATGGCCTTCTGCCTCCGCCACTGCCCCTCCCAATCCTCCAGCGGCGATGATGATGAGGAGGATGACGGAGGCCATCCAGCAGTGGCACTCACTGCAGCGCTGACCTTCACCCATTTAACGGCACTTAACCATCGACAAGCCGACCGAAAGTTGAATGTCATCGCAATTTAGTTGCTATTTTTGGCTGCCAACACGGCACCGTTCCTTAGGGCACATAAAAATTAAAATCATATCTGTATTTAGCATTCGTTATGAAAATAATCATTTTTATCTGTTCAAAATCGAAAGGAGTCGATTAAAAATGTAATTTTTAGTAAGAAAATCTTAAAAATACCAGTAGTACAGTTTAGCTTTTGTTTACTCTCAAATTTTCCTGACTCTCGGCAAGTCGAATAAACATTTTTAGTGGCAGCAGTAAATTAGTAGTAGCAAAAATATCTCAACGGCTTTTCTACATAATTAAAAAAAGTAAAAAAGCCTCTGCAACTTTGATATGTGTGTATATCTCCAGGTCCAATTTCATGACCAAATGCGGCGATGCCTGTTGACCTTGGAGCACCGCTCTCCGTGTTCCATAAACACTGGACTCTGCACAATGCACAATGCACAGGTGGGGATGGACAGCTCAGTTTAAATTTAGAATCGGAGATATGCATGCAGGGAAATTGAGCGGCTCCCGGGAATAACCATGACAACGGCCAGCTGCAACCAGGACCCTTCGGAGCTGCAATGAAGTACAGTTTTAGTCGGATTCCGGATTTACGGTCAAGTGGTCGCTCGTCCTGATTGATTGCCTTTCGGAGGAAACGGTGAAATTTGAATTTATTAATCAATAACGGATCAAATTAAATTTCTATAAAAATCGTCGGATAAAAAATATCATATAAAATGTATGAACGGCAAAATAAATAGGACTGCCATTCCGATTTTATATATTATGGCCAATGGCAAATTTAATATCATCCGCGAGCGGGCAAAATTGCTGTCGTTAAAATATTTTACAACATCCTACAAAGATTGAAAACGAATCAAGCGAGCATGCATGCGAGTGGGCGTGTGTTTATGGGCGTGGGTGTGTGGGTGTGGGTGGGTTGGGAGGCGTGCCGCTTTTGGGGCAGTCCTCGTATCATAGATGCTGTTGCGTTAAAGTAAAACATGAATATTCAAATATTGGCAGAGTCATATGAAAATTGCAGGTTGTTTATTTACATTGTTTGGCGCTGTAAAAGCCAAGCGGAAAAAGCGCAACGTTGTATACACACGTATATATATCGTGCATATCGGGTGTGTAATTAGGGGCCATCAATTGCCAGATTGAAAGTGCCTGTCGCTCGAGAGATTTGTGAATCTTGAAAAATATGAAGGATTTGTGTGTTTACACAGGGAGGAATGCACTGCCTTTAAATCTTGTATTTTTCTTTGATAAACAAGCCCGGAATGAGGAAGTGCTGCCAAATTTATTCGATAGATCCTTTAAGTCTCTGTAAGCTGAGGGCCAAAAACTTTTCCACCTGGTTCAGTTTCATTGGAATTTAAAGCAATTAAAAAGTCACACACAAAATACCCGCCCATACACAGAAAAGTTGAACTTAATTTAGCAGCAAAGTGAATAACAATTTTAGACAACACCCCCTTCGAAGGGGCTTTCCATTTCCCATTTTCCGCCGCTGACAGACAGCTGTTACATGGAAATGAGGACTGAATTTCATTTAAGCCATTGAAATGCCGCTGTTTACTGTGTTTTCCGTTTTTCGGTTACTTTTCAAGTTATTGAACCCGTAAAAGTTTTTAATTAAAATTCAAATTAGACAAATTAAATTGCCTGCTAGGTGGTGGCCCCGATTGCCATTCGAAATGGAAGACGTATTTTTATGCGGAGATGTCCTGGGAACGTGCGTTAAATTTTAATTGATTTTTCCCAGCGAATTGTGGGTGTTTGGGTGTGTGTGTGTATCTGTGTACCTGCTTACTCGCAAAGTAAACGAAGCGAGATGTGAAAACAGAGATGTGGAGTACAGAACAACAGACACAGATACACGGACGCAGGGGCACCAATACACAGGCAGCCCCACTGCGAACTGGCAGACATTCAGGCGTGCGAATAAACGCACACACTCTCCCGTGGCCACACACATACACAGACATACATACAACAGGACTCGGCATTCGTATTCGTATTCGCATTCGCATTCGGTTCTCTGAATGAGAAGCTGGATGTGAGTGTGTGTGGTGGGTGGTGGGAGGTGGGGGGCGTTCGTTGAAAGGACAATTCAAGGAGGCAAACGAAAAACATTTTCCCCGCCCCTCCCGTTCTTGTTGTTGTTGTTCGTAGGCTGTTTATTGCCCAGCCTTCTTGTTGTTGCTATCCCGCTGATGCTGTGTATCTATGTAGAATTTATCGATTTATTTTGACTTCTCTTTATGTGCTCCGCCTTCCCTAATACATACAAGCATGGACGTACCAAGGGGGTATATCCATTCGCGTTTTTTTTATACCATGTAAACATTTATTTTAAGAAAGGCTTTAAAGGAGCCTATATTGTATTAAGAAGACCGAGAAGAAAAAAAAGTTGTTAGGTATTTTTTTATTTTGAAACCATTATTTTTATTATTTTTATTAACAATATTTATTAACATTAACCTTGTAAAGAAGAATAAAGAACGTTACTATTACGCGCTGAAAAGCAGGCAACGTTTTTTAACCGGTAAAGAATTAAACCCTTTATAATGTATGTATACCGATTATATCGATTTTTTTCATGCCGATTTTATATGTGAGAGTTTTGTCATTTAAGTGACTTTTTTTTACCATTAAAAATGATATAGCATTATGAAACATTTATATAATTTTTAAAACACCCCCTGAGGTCTGAAAGCCCCTTTAAAAATCCTCCATCGAAGCCGCTGCGTACAGGCGTATTATTTAATACGGGCAGGGCGATAAGGCTCCAAAACTCGGTTAGCAGGCAGCTCACTTTAGGGCGCTTCTGGGTTGAGCGGTTGGGTTTCCCTTCTGCCGTCTGCCCTTTTGCTTTCCCCTCGTCCTTCGACCTTCTCCCTTTTCTGGTTGTTGTTTCTCGCTTTACTTTTTGCGCTTAATGCGCCAATTCTGACAACAGTCGAGCGGCTGTTTGGGAGAGGGGGGTCTGTTTGGATGGAAAGCAAGTCAGCGACGACCCAAAGTCAAATTGAGTAAAACGCATTGAAAACTTAAGTAATTTCCCAAAGAACGGCCCACAGTTCTTAAAAGCTTTTTTCAGCTTTGTTCTAAACGAGAAGCCCGAAGCAAGCGTGTTAGCCTTTTTTTTATTACTATTTTCTGTTTCGCTTCTTCGGTCTTGTTATTGCAGATGGCCAAAGTTGTTGGCCAAGTATAAAAATGTGTTTTATATTGTAATAACGAAGAATGCACTGAAGTCGAAACTTGACTGAGGGGCGGGGTGAAAGCCGAAAAACAGAAAAGCACACAACAATTCATAAACTGTTTAATGAAGCAGAGCAATTACATAAAGCCGAATCCCAAGTGAACGAAATGCAGCAAAGAAATGTTGAAAAGCGATAATAAAGCCAATTAGATTCTGAGTAACTTTTTACTGGAAAAATTCGTTGAGTCCTAATAAAACCGTCTTAATTTCGTTTCCACAGTAAGATGTTTAGATGTAATCGAAAAATGAGTGTGTCAAGCCGTCCTCTTTACAAAGAATCAACCCTAAACTAATGTAAACTACGACTTTTTAAAGTTATAAACCTTGAAAAGGACTAACGAATCGTTGGTAGAATAGCAGAACAAGGCGTGACTTGTGTGCGAGTGTACATAAAGACGGAAAGTATGTGAAACCGAGGCGCAAGAATGGCCGCCCTTTTGCCTCTGGCCCACCTTTTGTGTCCGTGCGTGTGAAATAAAACAAAAAAGCAACAGAAAAAGCGGAAAAAAACGAAAAAATCGGGGAAAACGGCAACTACTACAATCAGCGACAATGGAATAGCGATTCAATGTCACAGCAAGCGAGATACAGAAACGGATAACCCATATACATATACCCATACCCACTCATATGTATACCGCTCACGTATGTAGAGAAAAGCTATAGCCGCAGATTAGTGAGCCAGTTTCAAGGGGACGACAACGAAGAAGCGAAGACGACGACGACAATCAACATTCATCATACGCACCGTTGGACGCGGCGCAAAACGCAAATGCAGCCCCCGATCGATCGGTAAGCCGAAAAGCTAATAAAAACCAATTCCCCAGCGGAACTCTACTCTTTCGTGTGCCCTCTCTATCTCTCTCTGTCTCTTTACACCTTGCTCAAGTTTAATTTGTGTCCTTTTTGTTTATTTGATTGGATGTTTCCGTTTGTTTCAGTACTAACCATGACTAACGAAAACGTAGATACAGAACATACAGCGATTTTATAAAATTAAAATTAAATTATCTTGGAAAATTATTATTATTTGAACCCTCTATTAAATCTCCAAAAATATTGAAAATAATATTACAAATATTTGCTCTGATACCCAGGTTTTGATAGAAAACTTTTCTCAAGAAAATGTTTTTAAAAAACAAAATATCATGGTGATTGTCCATATTCTGTCGGTCTCAACTATTTAAGGCTTTAAGCCGTAGCATTTTCGATCACCAATTCATCTTTTGGGATCAAAGTGGATTTTTACGCGCCAACAAAGCAAAACTCGGTGTACCCTGCACTCACAACAACAATAATAACACATACTAATAATAATAAAAACAAAAAACATAAGCATCACCATCGACATCGACACCATCAACAGCATCAGCAACAACAACCATAACAGCGACCACTTTTCTGTGCTCAAAGTTCAATGACGTTGGCATCGTCATCCAAGCAATTTGTGTTTCGAACTAATGGAAAATTTGTATTTGTTATGTGGCTTCAATTTCCACAGAATTTCATGGGTATTCAATTTTCATCGAGTTGTGTTCCTGGAACAAGCTTACAATTTTAATTTGGTTGCCAAAAGTTTGAGTTTATTTGTTGAGAATATGCAATGGGAACGGGTAATTGGTACGGTTAACAACTAGACCTTAAAATTTAAATGCAAATGTTATTTTTAGCGAATATTTAATGCAAATTAAATATTGTTCTACTTATCAATTTAAGAATTCTGGTTTATATTGCGTATTGTATGTTTTTTAAATCAGTATAAACTAACATTACTAACAAAAACTAACTTATATAATAAATTAGATTATAGATTGGATATGTTTTAAGAATAAGTTATTGCTTGAAAACAAAACCATTAGAAAATTCACAATAAACTTCATTTACAAGCTGCTCAGAGGCACTTTATTTCCTTTTCCATTTATTCCATCCATTAAAGTTAAAATAGTTATCTTTGTGGCCCTAGAAACTGAGGTTGCTGCTTCAAAAATGAACTCTCGTATCCATAGAATATTTTAATATTTCGTTTCACATATTGCCCACAAATTCGATTAATATTTGCTATCAGAATTTAAACAGTTACCTTGCTTTGGTAGTTGCTCTTTTGTTTTGGGATTAAGTAAAGGGATTTGAAGCTGGATTCCAAAACCAAATTATTTGTAAATGCTTTGTTCAGTCTCGTAGCAATATAAACTTTTTCAAGTTATTTGTTGAATTCTGCATACAATTATTTTCTATTTGCTATCATATTTGAAACAGACACCTGGCTTTAGAATCGATGCTTTTGTTTTGAAGTTAACCTAAACAATGGGTCACAATTCGAAGAACGAAACAATGCAAATAAATCCTATTATGGGTCAAATCAATTCAAAACGTTTATTTAAGCTTTGCTATTTTCAAGGCAAATTTAGAACCTATTTTACATTGCCAGTAATATTGTTAGAAATGTAAAACATTTCATATTTTCTTGGAATTCCCTTTAAACACACTTGATTAACAAGGAAGAACTTCAAATAATTGAGTCAGCAATTGAAATTTATTAATTTTGATATGAAAGTGACCTTAAAGAATTGTAATATTACCAGTTATTTTTGCTTTTTCGTATGTGGTTTTCGATCTGCAGTGCCGCGTCCCGTCTATATAAGGCGATTCCTTTCAGTGACCAATGCCTGCCAGTCAAATTTATGACTAAAGCGAAATAATAGACAATTGACGTCACCGTAAAATAGGTATAGGAATTTCTTATTTATTTATTATATTTTTATTTGGCTTCTACGTGGATGACTTTTTTTTAGTATATTGCGTATGCGGTAATACTTTCCTTGTTGCGTCAAGGGGAAATCGAAAAAAAGTGAACGATCTCCGCAGATGACTTATGGAGGACGCAGCGTTGATCTATTGCTGATAAAGTGAAAGTCAAGTTATGTTAGAAATGTAATTATTCATGTCGGCTGCGAGACAAACAAACAAACAAACAAACAAAGAATCTGGCTTGGATTTTTGAAGAACATGCTAAATGTAGTCGCCCGCGGAATGTCAATGGGCAGCAGCGCCTTTTTGGAAAATATGTAGTGCTTTTTTTTTGGTTTTGGCTGGGTTTCGCCTTTGCGTCTGGCGTCTCGACGTTTGATGGTCGTCGCGTCATTTATCTGTCAGCGTTTGCCTTTGCTTGATGAACTATTAATTTCTGGTTGCCGAGGCAGGAATTTATTTTCGTCAACTGCGGCACGTGTGCGGCGAACATCAGCTCGGATTCGGAATCGGAATCGGACTCTGATGCCAATGCGAATGCGGCTGCTGTGCGTTGTTGAGGTTCATAAAAAATAATTTGAATAAATTCCCAGCGAAGAGTGACAAATCCCTTCGGTTTGCAGCCGTAAAATATGTGGAAATAAAACACGAAATTTGTGGAATATTTATCAGAGACATTTGAATAAAAGCAGTTGCAAGCAATCCTATTTCAATGCGAAATGTTGATGGCCGCTATTCTCTATGCTCTAATGCTGAATACATGCCCGAGCGCCCTGTAATCCGATTTACAGGACACTGCATTTATGCCTCACATTTCAATGAAACCACAAAATTCATTAATTATAATCTGATGCAAAATCTACATACTCTGAATACGTATTTGCAAGGGCCTTGAACATTCGGTTGTGGCATAATTTGTAAGAGCTCTAACTGATTGAATTGAATTTTCGGCTTGATTAAATTGCACTCGATTGTGTTCAAAAATACGTTGCATGTTATTGTGAGCTATGCGCTGTACAAAGGGCCAAATAGGCTGCAACATTGTTCTGAGCATAATTGGAAGGCGTCTGGCGGAAAAGATATGGCAGCTACATCATTTCGACAGGGACAAAGGCAACGGCTGCTTTTGTGTCGTTCTCCTACTGACAACGACAGGTGGTCGCCCCATACACATACACACATCCATATACTGGGGCGATAAAGCGCAGCAGCCAAAGTACCAAAAGTAGCGACGGCCTACACGGCGTATGCGTGTTCCGCCTCTAAGGATGGGAGATGAGATGATCGCACAGGTTTCGCCTCATATTCCGACTCTCGTACATGTTTGGGAGCGAGAGGTATGTCCATTAGCTGATTTAATGAAATCGTAAATCAAACGAGCGGATTGCTAAAAATATATCTGGCGCGTATTTTATGTTTTTTGAAGTGGAACCCATGTACAACAGCAACAAACTAGCAGAAACGGCCAACGGCCGGCGGCAGCCGCTGAACAATAGATGAAACGTGGACGATTATGCCAAAGTACAAGTATGTTCCTGCCTTTTCGGGCACTTGCACATATGCACAGGGAAAAACTAAAGGTATCTTAGTTGGTTTGTAAAAATAAGGGGAAATAATGAGAGGTAAAATCAACTTTAAATAACATCGGGTATAGGAATTCTTGAAAACCAATATTTTTAAATTCCCTTTTTATTTAATATCTAAGAATCAATTAAAAATACGGCACTAAAAAAATGTATCTTTATTATAATAAATTGGAACTTATTTAAAGTCTAAGTTTAAAATACGTTTTAGTAGTACTTCAAATTTATTTATGATACATAAATACCAATTCCACTTTTTTCTCAGTGCACCTGTAGTATGCTTATGTTTTGGTTCATTCTAATGATGAGCACATGTAATGCTTCGTATTGCAAAACTTGGCGTTTTATTTCGACATTTCTCGCCGTGAATAATGCATGCGATTCCTTGGTCGCCTTTCGGATTGGTCTGCTTGGGCTGAGTTTTGGGTTTTGGTTTTGGTTTTAGTTTTTGTTGCCGTTTCTTTTTCTTTTTCTGCCAAAAGTGCAGCATTGTCGCCGCCGTCTTGGCCGCCGTCCGTCTCTCAATACACTCAAAAAAAAATTTTAGAAAATCGCCTATGGATTTGCTTTACTGGCGATTTTTTTCTATATTTCTGGAATATTTCTTGAATTTAATGAATTTTGATTAATTGGAAGAAAATTTTCTTTACCAGTAGAAAATTTTTTTATTTTAAAGAAAAAAATCGCCAGTGAAGCAAATCCATAGGCGATTTTCTAAAATTCAGGGCGATTCATTTTCTGAGTGTAGGCGTGTCCAAGATGCTGTGGCCAAGATTTCGCTTGGCTGGCCGGCGTCACAGTTTTCGCGTCTGCGTCTGCACTTTCCCATGGATGTGGACGTGGATACCAATGGGTGTCCGCATCTTTATTTAATTAACATATTTTATTTGCCCGACACACACACACACACTTGTCCACAGGGGCGTTGTGATTTATGCCTGGCGTTTTGTGCACTTTATGCTGCCTTTCAGTCAGCGTCGAGATCATGGCGATTGTCATCTTTAAGTAGCTTCGTCCCAGAGCCAGATCCTACCTCCTATCCCCCAGATACAGATTCCCTATCCGCCGAATTAATCGCCTGCATTAGTCAGTTTTTGGGCCTTTGGCTGTGTGGGTCTCGTCTCCCATTGTTGGCACTGGCCGTGTGACTAATTTGATTACACTCACCAAGAATTTGAATATTTCGCGATTCTGACTTTATTTTGAGGCATTTTATTGTATTGTCCGCCCGAGAACTGTCGACTTTCTGCATTAAATTAATGCTCACTTACTGTGCCAGCCATCTAATGTTATTTATATAGCAAATCAAATACGGCCGGTAGTCTGTATGTAGCGTGTAGTATGTGTGCATACTATCGCCAGTATCCGTGAACATTCCTCGAATGATATGTCATCAAAATGTGATTAATTTTAATGCCTTCAACTCACATGCAGCAGAGTGCAGCATTATTTTTGAGGCCTTCTAATATTAGTGGTGTCAACAAATATTTTCATTCGTTAAGGATCAAAAATTGGAAATCAAAAAGAAGCTCTTCAAGAGCTCGGCATTTATTAAAATAATTTCTACTGAATTTTATATGCTTAAAACTGAACTACTTGTATTCAAACAATGCCTAATTTAAATAAAGAATATTTAAACATTTCCTTTCCATGTTCCAAATATGCTCAAAATTGGTCAGAAGTTGAGAAACTTAAAAGTTTTTATTCCGGGCCATTAAAGCCAGGCCAAATACAGGAATGCTCCACACACTCTGTACCGACAATTAACCCAATTCAGTGGGGAGTACAAAAGAAAATGCAACTCTCAAAAGCCATTTAAGCATTATGTGCAATAAAAATTATAAATAAAAGCCAGCACACACACACACTTTAGCAGGGCTCACTCCACGCGGAATGAAAATGGAAACGGAGGCGAATGTTTATGGGTGGCGCGTTCTCATTAGGCAAAGTGTTCGATAATTAAATAGAAATGTAAATCAAGGCATTCGATTTTCCCCTCCTGCTTTTCCGACCCCCCTCCTCACCTGCACGTGTGGCAATTAGCGGGCGATCAGCGCGCAGCTGTTTAATTGACACTAAAGCTAAAAATTAAGTATTTGGGAAAAGTCCACCGATGCTGTTTATTAAGCGGCAAATCAAACAGCCAGAAATTAGCTTATACAAAAGCTTATATGCAAACAAACAGCAACATTATATTAAGTATACATCTTTATTCGCCGAACATATAAATTCTGGGGGTATATGCTCCGTATATTGATGCGGATGTGCGATAACTAAAAAGTGTGTGAGAGTCTGTTTATTTTCGGTGCGCGCGAATGATTTTAATTGGATTTTGATTCTGATATTCGGATATTCTGATATGAAATATCCAACACGCTCCACAATCCTCCAATCTCCACTCACCTTGGCAGAGGCCTGCCGCTTTCGATCTGTCTTTAGCATTTTACACACGATTATTTTTAGGCTGTGGTCTAACATTGAAAACGCGAATGTTTATATGTTTGCCGTCTAATTTTGCGCATAGTTATTAATATTATTTTTATGAGAATTTCTTGTTTGGATGATGCTGCTTCTGTTGACATGGCCAGCGGGGGTGTGTTTTATGCGCCTGTCTTGTTTTTTGGTAATCGGAGTGTGAAAATGCGAAAAACAAACAGTTTTCAGAATTGAGGAAACCACATTCAACGGCATAATCACCAGAGAACTATAAAAAATTCACGATCAAAATATTTGAGGGCTTTCCATGGGATTTCCACCTTCGAGGGAGGGGCGGGGGACACCATTGTTTTTTCGTACCCTGTTTATTGTGGTCTTTTTATCGCCTTTTTCCGCCAGTGGTATTGGTGTTGTATCGCGCCTTGGCTTCCTTCATTAGTGTGTTTTAGTGGGCGCCTTGCCAACGATTTTCCGAAACAAATTGTCGTCGCGCTCGACAACATTCCGCACGCTTACGGCCCATACACGATTCGCGAACAAGGCGAAGCGACCCACTGTGCCAGTACCACAGTACCACTGTGCAGAGGCAATGTGCAGCGTGCACACATCGCTCATATATATTTTTAATTAAAATCAACAAGCGCTCTGGCAAGATACAAATACTCAGATACATTGACTTGGCCCTCACATTTACCGCACACTAAAAGAAAAATAGAAAATACAGATACATTTATATTGTCAATATTTATAATACATTTACTTACAAAATATATGGGAATTCCTGTCCTTACATTCTTGTGTTTCTTAAACTTTAAAAAATATTTATAACTCAAAACAGGAAGGAATCCATTTAACTTTTCCTAGTTGGTGGTCTAAGATTTCCTGATGGTAAGATGGTCTATAATACCTCGAAGATTACCTAGTTTTTGTCTCTGTGCACCTGTCGAAGTCGCTTGGGAAATGCAATGCGAGCTGACTGCAAATATCCAAAAGCCAGACCAAATCCAAATGCAGTTGCAAGAGGCATCTGATGCATTTGGCATCCCCCTTGCCTGTTGCATTTTGAGTACAATCTTCCCCTCGTCCCCTCGTCCCGTCACTCATGTCGCGCACTGTACTGTACCAATGTGCGTCTGATGCCCAACAACATGTGTAAGAGCGTGCGGAGCTCCGCACCCTGCATCCCCTTTCGTTCTCAGATAGCCAGATAGTTCCCTTGGCCAACTGCGCCTTTTGACGACGCTCGTGTGTCTCTGTCTCAGTTTGTGTTTCTGTTTCTGTTTCGTCTTCTGATTTCGCAATCGTTTTTAAAATGCTCTACTTATTGCCTCGAATGAGTGGGTTTCGTCACTCACTTTGAAAAAGAACTGGAACCTTGCCCTTTCACGTTGTTTTGGCCTCAAATAAATTAAACCTAATGCTTAAGAGATGTATTTAATCAGCATCATTTAAACATTTGTAGAACTAAAGTATTAATAATTTCGCCATTAATTCTACTTTAAATATAGATTTTTCCATTTCAATTATCTATATATTGCCATATTTATATCCCAACTAGAAAAGTTACTCACGCAGAGTATACAAATGATGTACGAACGCCCAATAAAGATTTGTCATCTTTGCCAATCTTTTTGCACAGCTTTTTGTGGCATTTGTGGCGCATGTTTCGCCAAGCGTTGCCGAAACGGGTGGGACGCAAGCCAAACATGAATTAAATTAAAAATAAAACTATAGAAAATTGTAATTAAATAACTAAAAACAAAAATAAGCATGCACGCTGACAGACAAAGACTATTGTGTACCAAAATAAAATTTCATGAGGCGACAGCACGAAGACAACGACAACAACGAACATCGACAGCGGTGAAAAGCGAAAAATGGAAGGGGACGGCGGTATCGATAGAGGAAAATTCGCCAGAAATGCAAAAGAAGCGAGTGCATAGAATAATTGAAATTTTCAATGCTGCAACTTGAAGCAGCCGAGCAAAATGTATCGAAGAACATTTTACCTTAGGGCCCTTCAAGAGGAAAATGTCATGATGAAGAAATTTAAAACGTTGTGCAAGTATAAAATGTTATAATTGGGAAGATATTGTCCTTAAATAAACATAAATTTTTCCTCTATATAAATGAATACCCCTAAAGCCTGCCTTAAAGTTTAAACTGTGTTTTACAAATGTTTTCAAATCGATTTTAATGTTTTCAAGTAGACTAGGGTGAATTTGATTTATTAATTTTCAATTATTTTATAATTTTTAAGGCGGGGACGACTGTCGGAATTCTTTTAAAATTATTTATCAATATAAATAAAAATTATTTTTAAACAAAAGTGAGAATACCTAAAAATTGATGTGATCTTATGATCTATCAGTGGATTTTTTAGCACTGTATTAGCTAAATATCCCAAAAAGTATATTAAACTAAAACATATTTTCAATGCCATATTTTTTTGTTTGCTAATCCTGCCGACATGCTAATCCCCCATGACTGATCAGCAGATTAGTCAGTCAGTTAGTCAGTCAATCAGTCAGTCAATCAGTCAGTCAGTCAGAGTCATCACATCAGCCAAAAACTAAGACTAACCACCATTTTCGCCCACCGACCCCCTCCCCAATTTCATTCTCGAGAAGTTTTTATCAACTGACGCGATTTTTCCCATACTTTTGATTGTGTTTTGCATCGTGTACATCCATGTGCGATTTTCCGATTCGAGTGTGCCAGTGTGTCGCCTTTTTCTTGTATGTGCATGTATTTGATTTCTTGATTTCACTTCGTTTTATGCGCACATTTTTTATGCATAAATTTTGACATTTGTTTGCTCTTTGGTTCCTCTTCACGTTTTTATGTCACCCAAAAAAACGAAACGAAAGAAAATAAGAGAAGCGGCTACGAATCCGAATATGTTCAATCATACAAAACTTTTTTCAGATTTTTGATTTTGTATCCCCATCATCACCACCACCACTACCACCACAACTACAACAACAACCAGTACAAGCACCAACAACAACATCAACAACAACCAGAACCTCATCGACGGCAATTGCGACGATGGCTGCCATAAATACGGTAAGTACGCGACATCGACAACCAGAAAATATAAAAAAGTAAATCAAAGCCAGAAAAAATAACAATTATGGGGCACAAGAAAAAGAGAACCACAATTGCGTGCAATCAATCATAGGAATACATTATTTATCGCACATGCCGATATATATTAATATTTACTCCCAAGCAATTTGTTTCTGACATTTCCAATCAATGTTTCATTTCTGAGCCATTTATTTTTTTATAAAACGAACCAAGTACTTAAAGTTACAGTTTGGGAAGTTACAAAGTTGGATGCAGAATTATTTGAATATTTCCTGTGAATATTTACGTCAATCTTGAATTATAGCTTCCCCAACTAATTGGGTTTCCAGGGTTCCAAAATTAAAAATTAATAAAAATAAAAAAAAAATCTTTTTATTTTTATTTATTTGTTTATGAAGAGTAAATAAAAAACACCAATTTATATGATTATTTCTCTGTGTGTGGTATCCATAAATTTGCATAATTACCGCACTTGCGTAGACAATAATGTTAATGTCATAAAACGTTTAAAAACCCATTTTTTAAATGATTAAAACTGTGATATTACGCATACGGCACGTTGAACGCCAGCTGATACCCGTGTCTTTGAAGGCCTAATCATAAACAAAATTGAAAATTGAAAAACACAGGAAAGCGGACAGATTGCGTGCCATATGACCAAGTTACCCGATGATGAATCTGTTGTTGATGATGACGACGGCGGCGGCTTTTCTCAGCCCTTGCACAAACATGTGTTTCAGCTCATTTTACTAATAAGCAAGAGGAAAAGAGAAAAGCCCGATGACAAATTGCCGGCCAGCATATTCAATTTTACGCTGACATCATCTCGAAATTTTCATTAACATATCGGCAGAATGGTGGAATGGACCAATGTTCAAACCAGACCCGGGACCTTGCCAATTTCATATCTGGCCATCAAAACTGGTCCAAGTCTGGCTGCAATGGAAATATGATTTTGGCAGCGCCAAACTTTTCCTGCAACACGGCCAGCTCATTCATTCAACATTCTTCTATGCCAGTTTTTTTCTGGCTTGTTTTTTGTGGAGTGACATTGACATTTGATTGACACGTGAATCACGCCGTAAAAATATGCCCACCCATCCGAAGAGTTCAGGAGGAGGATGGGCAATTGGTGTGGGTGTAACAGGATATAAGACCCTCCTCCCCCCCCCCACTTTCACACCTCTCGCCTTTCACATGTGACAAACATGGGGATTTCCTAACAGACGACGCTCGTAAATCTTTTCGCTTGTGCAAGAGAGCAAACATATAATTACTTGATACCTGAATTGATTTAGCGTGAACATAATTTATGATTCCGCTTGATTTGGGCGATAGAAGATTTGCCAGTACAGGAATTTAACCTTTAGGTTAGGTTGCTGTTAAGCTAAGCATTTCCGAGAAATCGACTTGCTCATTTCGCCTTTGATTATTCTAAGCATTTCAAAGCAGCGACAAGGTTATCACAACAATTGATAAACATAAATCTAATTTACTTCTTCTAATAGCCCCTGCCCATATATATCTCATAGCCCACTGGCATATTTAAATAAACAAATTGTGTTGTCGAGAACATTAATGCGGGGGCGTGCCACTTGTGGCTCCTTTTCCAGCTCGGTTCATTGAGGGAACTTTTTCATTTGGCTAGCCGTGTTTTTTTTGCCCACAACTTAAACAATAATAAAATTGCTGTTTATTTATTTAACGTGAAATTTTATGCGTCCGAAACGAATTTATGCCAGTGTCTTCGTGCTGGTTTTTTCGTACTACATACGAACTGTGTTTTTCTTTTTTTTTCTCAATTGTGGTCAGCGTCGCAGGCACTTTTTGGAAATTAATGCGCTGCTGCTTTATTTATTTTTATTCGTGTTTTGTTTTGCGGCTATGGGCAATTGCAGGCCACATTAATTGGCCATCGGTTGCGGTTTATAAAGCATTAATTGCCCCATCTAACAACGGATTCCCCTGCGACCCCATATTCCCTCTCTACCCAATTTATGAGTGCACTTTTATTGCATTTAAATTAAAATATGTCGGGGGGCTGCCAAGTATATGCGGCAAATAAATGACGGACTAAAATACACCATTGTTTTTACAAGTGCCAAATGCGACGAGGAGCACACTCAGAAAAATTTAAGGAATTTTAAATAATATGGTAAATACCGCTAAAGAAATATGCAAAAATTAAATTGTTTTTTCAATTCTTCATCAAATTATTTTTTAAAATGTTGATAAAAAAAAATGTACTTAAACAAATATTTTTAAAAAGAATGTTCATTTAAAAAAAAAAATTCTTGTCCTTACGTTTTCTTTGAGTGATATGATATATTGGCCACACGGCGTATGCTTAACGTGCTGCGGTGCTTACTGCCCTCGGGGGGCGTGGCACAGTAGTCACTTGTCGGACTTGAAGTGAAATGCATTTAAATTCAATTAATTATGCGAAGCGTCGTCCATTAGGCGACAGTTGCTGCGAATTATCAATAATCTCGACTAATCTCGCCTGACAGCCATCGTTGCTGTTGCTGTCTCGCCACTTGGCAACGATTTTGGGTCTCTCCATCTCCATCTCGAGCCCCCTGACCCCCTTTAAAAACACATAGTTTCGAATGAATTATCATCAGCCATATCGAGATGCCTGACGTTATGCATTCCGCACTTACCGCCCGCAGGTACCAAAGAGCATCCACCTGCCATTGACAACTATCAGCAGCGCGCCGCGCGTGTTGATGTGCAGCGCTTCCGTGGGCAACGAAGGATCCGTGACTCTGCAACTGCGGGATGCCAACGCCTTGGAGGCAGCGGCCACGAAAACAGCATCAGCATCAGCAGCAGCGGCAGCCACATCAACGACGTCACCGAATGGCGCTGCCAGTGCGCCAGCGTCGGCGCTAGAGAATGCGCTGAACATTGGCTATCCGGATCCGGAAATGTTGGCAGATGTCTTGGGCACCATTCAGACAGCCTGTAAGTAAACTAAAATAATATAATAACAATAGTCACCCGGCAGTTCTACAGGCCCCTTGTGCTTTAATCTATAACTTGACCTCTGTCATTTAAAAATAGGAACATTGTGCATTTGATCTAAATGGTTTAAAATGATCTAAATGATTGAAAAATCTTATAAAAACTATAAATAAAAAAAATATTTTTCAACTTAAATAAATAAAATCTTTTCAAATATCAAAACAAATACAAATTTAAAAAATAATATCCTTGTGGGTGAGATACATGCTTTATCCACCAAAGTTTTTTTAAGACATAGTTATTTGCTTTATGGAACTGAGGGGTGTACATAAAATTCATTATTAATCTCATTTATTTATCTTAACTTTTCAGCTCTCAAGAACAACAACTCAATCACAGCAGCAACTTCAAGCAATAGCTCAGCCAAGTCGGCGGGCAGCAATCATTTAGCGAACCCCAACAAGATAACCATAACCAGGCGCAGTGTCCAGTCGGTCAGCACCTCGACGAATTCGAGCATCGGTGGCAGCGGCAAGACCAACACCAGCTACATCAAGAACTGCTTGATCCGCAGCAGCAGCTGCAGCAACACGGTCACCAATGTCACAACATTGGCGCAGATTATGAGCAACAGCAGCACGAGCAGCGCGGCCAGTTTACTCAATCAGCATAATAATAACAGCAATTGCAGTAATAGCAGCAACTTTAGCACCGCCTCCTCAGTGGGCAGCAGCATTAGTGTCGGTAGCAACAGCAGCAGCAACAGCAACTGCAGCAACGGCAGCAACAGCAACAGCAACGACAGCAACAGCAGCAGCGGCGGTGGACACAGTTTGAGCTTTAAGTGCACCACCGGACGGCATGTTCCCGCTGGTGGATTGAGCTCATCATCGGGGGCATCCACGAATGGTAGCGGCACCGTCAGCGGTATCGACATCATAAGCGTCGAGGCGCCGCGCAAGAATCGCCCCAAATTATCATCGCCAACGCGTCACGGACCGCAGCAGTGTCAGGTACGAAAGTCCGCTGAGGCTTTAGCTTCAGCTATGTCTATATATTGGGTATATATCCCTGGCCTAATCGCCAATTTATCGCCGCTCATTCTGAGCCATGCCAACATGTCGTACAGACAGTCGTGCAATATTTATAAACAGACATTAAGGTCGTCTCGCTCGAGTGGCAGGTGAAACGCGCACAGTTCTCAAAGTGCCTTCTCGGCCAAATCCGCCGGACAGCCACTTGGAACTAATATTATGGCGAGTGTTTATACAGGGCGTTAATTGAGCGCAGCATTGATAATTCGGGAATTGCGGGAGGACCATCAAAGGAAGGAGCTCAGGGCAGAACACCTCATTTGCACCGAGAATGAGTACTTAACTAGATCGTTTATATGAGCAGATTAAAGAAAATATAATCTGTAAATAAAGATCTTTGTCTTGTTTTAATAAAAACAAGATTTTAGAATTTATTTATATTTAGAATTTGATTATATTTAAGTACAGGTTTATTCATTTAACATGTTATAGGCAAAATATGAGCATTATGTTGAAACACTATAATTTTTTACGTCTTACCCATAATTTTCCAAGAAATCCAACCATGTAGTTCTCGATTTCGAAAGTTAAATATTGATTTTAGAGGGCGTTTCTCAGCCGTGTGAAATTTTCCACACCAAAAACTCACTCGCTCGCCAGGGGCATTCAACACGTCTCGACGTCTGTCAATAAAACTGACAGCCGCTCAAAGTGCTCGGGCTTCAAGTCCTCCTTTTTTTGCGCGTCTAGTAGAGAGTACGGCGGTAAAGTAGATTTTATGACGCGTTTTACGATACTGCGGATGTCGAGAGGAAATGTTTGGTCAGCGGAGGCGGCGGTGGCGGCGGCATTGGGGAATTGAAATTTCACTCCTGCTGCAGGCAATCAAACACACTGACACACATGTTCCTGCAGATAGTTTAGGGTATGAATGTGGAACGCTTTTGGTTTCGGAATTCGTTGCTCGTAATTAGCATGCGGTGTGTGGTGGGCAACACGAAAAATACAAAAAAAAACCAACATAACGTATACGCAATGTGGCTCATTAAAATGTTCGAACGGCGAACGGCGAGCGACGGGCGCAGCGCTTTCAATTATCTAGAGGGCAGCCGACAGCCAGTGCTAATTACATTTCTCCTACGTTCCTCACTCGGACTTTTTATAGATTTGTTGCAAGATCTTTGGAAATGCCTCGGCGCTGGCCAAGCACAAACTGACGCACAGCGACGAGCGGAAATACATCTGCGCGCTCTGCTCGAAGGCATTCAAGCGGCAAGATCACTTGTAAGTAAATGAGGCGCACTAACTAGTGATCTATTGATCTCCTGATCTATGAAACCACCGAACTGATCTTCTAGAAACGGACACATGATGACTCATCGGAACAAGAAGCCTTACGAGTGTAAGGCGGATGGCTGTGGCAAGTCCTACTGCGATGCCAGATCCTTGAGGCGCCACTCGGAGAATCACCATGCCGGTGGAGCAGCCACGCCCACCACCGGCCACCAGTCGCTCTCGCCCACCGCCCACAGCTCGAGCGGCACGAGCGGCAACAGCAGCAGCAGCGGCAGTAGTGTGGCCACCAGCTCCCTGAGCCTCTCGCCGGCCACCGCGAGTGGAGATGCCAGCTCCCCCGATGGAGCCACCTGCATTCGCACCTACATTTCCACGGGCAGCTCGGTGGTGGATGCGGCCACTGGAATCGCCCTGTCGGAGGAACAAATCAAGGCCATGAATCTGCCGATTAAGACGGGCGTGACCCTGTTGTCGCCCACCACTTCGACCTCCTCGAATGCCTCCTCCACGGCCTCGTCGGCCAGCTCAACGCTTTCCTCAGCGGGCTCGGGATCGGGATCGGTATCGGGCTTGGGTTCCGGATCAGTTTCGATGGCTCCCTCGCCATCGATGGCCGCCAGCTCGCCCACCATCACGCTCAGCGATGGCATGAATCTGGAGGGCGAGGGCCTGACCCGCGAACAGTTGGATCTCATCAGCAAGATTATGCAGCAGACGAAGCAGACGAGTGCCCAGGTCACCGTCTCCTCGCCCACCAGTGTCAACTCCTACAAGATCAACACCAGCTCGTCGCCATCGCAGAACAGACCGCGCACCTGGAACATGCAATTGGTAAGGGTAGACTACTCATTATAAGATATATATATTTATCTCTTCATCTACAGCTAAATAGGGCCCAGAATGTGACCGTCACCGTTGAGGACAACACGGAAATGGCCACCCCCTCCTCCAACTCACCCGTGGAGGTCAAGGAGGAGGAGCTGAGCCCACAGCTAGTGAGCAACATGAATCCCCACCTGCTCAACATCGTGAAGCTCGACAAGCCGGTCGAGTGCAATCTCTGTCACCGCAAGTTCAAAAACATACCCGCCCTCAATGGGCACATGCGTCTGCATGGCGGCTACTACAAGAAGGATCCGGAAACCAAGAGGAGCGAGAAGAAGGACTCCAGTGGTCCACCCCTGCAGACGGCGAGCATTGGAGTGCGCGCCCTTATCGAGGAAAAGATCATCAGCAAGCGCAAGGACATGACTAAGGTGGGTAGAAGGGCCTGAGTTCAAGTTTGAAAATTACACCAGTTAAAAAAAAAAATCGATGAAATATAAACCTTTGCTTTTCGGTAAGGTACATCTTTCTGATAAAGAAAAAGGCACTTACAATTTTTTGTATAGTAGCAATTTTTTTTAAAAGTCTAAATAACGTTTTTAACGCCCTGTTTCTTTTTTAATTTATAACTCGAGTTGTTATTAACCGATATCGGCCATCAAATACTCATTTTACAGGTAATAGAATGCCCTAAAACTTTCTTAAACACAGCATTGAGAACCATTCATTAGTTTATAAGTTGCACTTCGTCAAAGTTAAAAAATTGGAAAAAACGCAAAAATTCTGACATAAATGGCTTCGTTAAAAATACACGCCTAAAAAGATATTAAGATATTTTCTTAAGAAGATTTAATTATCATAAAGATTCAGATATGCTCCGGTTTTCACATTATTTCTTCGATTTTGTTTTTGTTTCTAGGGCTCCTTTGTGGTTCCGGCGCCTCCGCACAGCAGTGGCACCACCACCACCCTGCGGCGATCGATCAGCGACCTGGAGAGCTTCCTCAACCCGAAGACGAGCACCAGCAGTCACAGCCAGACGATGACCACCACTACGGGCACCACCACAGCCGTTCTCCCGGCGGCCACGACGATCAAGAGCAGCAATGGGCTCAGTATCCAGCAGATTGGCCTCCCGCAGAGCATCGAGATCTTCAGCGGGGGTCAGAAGCAGGCCAAGACCCTCAATCTGGGCAGCGGCACCAATACGATCACCATAACCACCAACAATGTACCCACCACTACGACGATGAGTGCTCTAACTGCCTTAAAGGCGGGCGGCACCATCAGTGGCATTTCCACGGCCACCAATACGGATCCCAAGGACTCCACACTCATCGAGCTGCTCAAGCGGGGCACTCGCATAGCGGTCACCTCGAAGAAGGCACAATCGCAGGGCCAAACGGGAATGATGACATCTACGAGTGGACTGGCCACAAATGCCGTCACCGAGTTGACCACCATAGGAGGCAGTGGCCGGCAGATCATCACCAACAATAACCGCACCGTGATCATACCCTCCGATGTCCAGGTGGTGTCCACCAAGAGCAAGCTGAGCAGTCTGAGCAGTCTGGTCAAGAGTAATATCACCAGTAGTTCCTCGGGAAATCTTTCGCTGGCCGATGGAACGCCTCTCTCGCTGACCATTGCTCCCAACCAGGAGATCACGGGAGGCGGAGGAGGAGGCGGAGGATGTGCCAGTGGAACGGGAAGTGTGATCACGAGCGGAGGCGGGGGCGTCTACACGGTGACCTACACCAGCGACGGGAGCGATCTGTTCGACGATGCCGAGGTATACAACGTTTCGGACACCGAGATGCTGCTGCAGACGGTGGACTCCATGGAGCTGCTCAACGACGAGGAGATCAAGAGCGAACATTCCGAGGACTTTGCCCTGCTGAGCGAAGCGGGCGACAGTGCGCACACCCAGCTGGTGAAACTGGAGCCGGAAAGTGGTCAAGCCAACGCCGGAAACTCTGGCAACGGAAGCATTTCGGGTTCAAATACCACAACGCCGCTGCCCACCTTCCAGCAATTCCATTCCAAGGAGCTGATCATGCAGAACAGTTCGCAGATCCAGGCGATAGCCAGCATGCGGGGAGGAAGTGGAGCCAGCGGTGTCCTGGCCTCGCCGCTCCACTCTCCGCTGGCCTATCCCACCCCGCCCTCGAGCCACGAGAACATGGCCCAGAGTTCGCCCTTCATCGAGGATGCAGCCGCCCAGTTTGTGGATGCCAGCAACACGTTCTTCGGCGACAAGACGGACTTCTCGCACATCTACTTCAAGACGGACGAGGGCGAGGCCACCATTGAGCAGCTGAACGAGCACGACAACGAGAAGATCCTGAAGCTCAAGTCGGTGCTGGAGGAGAGCAGCTTCGATCCCTCTATTAAAGTTGAGGATCTGCTGAATGGCACCGACGATGACACCGAGTGTGATTTGCGCGAGTTCGCCGAGACGAACCTCTCGTTTCTGGACGAGGATCAGGAGTTCCTGAATGACTCGCGCAATGCCACCTCGCCGCTCTCGGAATCCTTCTTCACCAGCGGCATTGGTTCCGCGGAGGATGTGAAGCAGGTTCTGCGGGAAGTCCTGCCCGATGAGAACATGCAGTTGCAGCTGACAAGCGAGCAACAGGGCGAGAACATCATCGATCTCTACTATCTGCCTGGGTTGGGCCTCCAATCCCAGATGATGCCCAATTCGGAGGACCCCTTGCTCTCCTCGTCACCGCGGGAGTTTGGCCAGCAAAGGCAGCAGATGGCTCTGCAGGCCACCCTGGATCAGCCAATTCAGGGGAACATTTACCAGCAGCAGCAGCAGGAGCAGCAGCAACAGGAGCCACAGCAGCAGCAGCAACAGGAGCAACCACAGCAACAGCAACAATTGCTGCTGCCCCAGCAACCACTCAATCAAACGGAATCCCTGCCAGCAGCTGTGGTTCAGCAACAACAGCAGCAGCAGCAGGGTGACTTCATGCTGCCCCTGGTGGGTGGCCATGGATTCACTCAAGTCACCAGCCAAACCCAGTATATAGACAACAGCCAGGGAGCAAGCAACATGACCATGCAGCCCCTCAACAGCCTGCTGCAGCCACTGCTTTATAATGGGGCAGGCACTTCCTCAGCCGGGGGCACTGAATCGCTGCTCACCACCACCAGCGATTGCCAACTGAATGCCAATCAAGGACAAATCGATGGGGGCCTGCTGTTCGCCTGTGGCAATGCGACCACCACGACAGCAACCATGGCGAGCAGACCGCTGAGCGGCCTCCTGCCGAATCCACCGAGTGTGGCCAATCTGCAGCCGCTATCCAACCAAACCAATTCCATACTGAAGCGCCGCCTGCGCTCCAATGCTCCCCAGGAGACGCACAAGTTCTCCAAGTTCCACACCCTGTCGCCGCATCGCTCCAAGCTGCGCAAGCCATCGCGCACCCACTACACGCCGGCACCCATCCTGAATCCGGATCGCAAGGGCACCGGGCTGTACTGCAATGTGCGCAAGCAACTCGGCCAGGGTCTGTTCGATGCCTTCGACGATGACTTCGGGGACTCGGTGGGCCTGGTGGACTTCTCCGATGAGTCCAAGGTCAATTTGGGCTCAACGTACCAGGCGCAGATACCCAGTTGTCGGCCGATGGACGAGGCAGCAAGGGATTCGTCGGGCGCCGAGCTGATGTGGAATCCCGAGGTGCAGGAAGACGACAAGATCCTGATGCGCTACATTGATCTCAGCAAGTCGTCGGCCGTGCCCATGGGCAGTCATTCCGAGGAGGTGGCGCTCCAAACGCTGCTCAAGGCCAAGGGTAACTCGGCGGCGGCGGTGCTTAGTCTGCTGCAGACGCAATCGGGCGCTTTCCAGATGAAGTGGACCGCCTACGAGCTGGAGCAGTTCTTGCGGGGATTGGAGAAGCACGGCAAGGACTTTGGCAAGATTGCCAGTGAGGTGGGTCTTTCATATCCCTAATCCTTAATATTTTTTTACATTTATTAATCATCTCCCTCAGCTGCAGACAAAATCCTCTGGCGATTGTGTTCAAATCTACTACTTCTGGAAGAAACTCTGCGTGGACTACAAGGTGTCGCACTTGAAGATGGAGCCCGTGGTCGTAATTGCTCCCGCTGTGGAGAAGCCCTATGTCTGCGAGATCGCCGACTGCTCAGCGGTAAGTTGTAGGTTCTAAGTACCCAGGATCAGCATGTCCCCGAAGTGCACGAAATGCGGAACCCTAAACCAAAAGCTAAAATCCCCCCTCGGTTAGCCCCTTCTGTTTACTTTCTATCTTGTACATAACGCTCGAAAATCAAAACCAAACTCTTTCCAATCCCCCCGCCTGCGCCGAATGTAGAGCTTCAGTTCGAAAGCAGCGCTGCACGGTCATGTCCGCATACACGCTTATGGCCGCAGTGCCAGCAGCAACACCAACAACAGCAGCAGCAGCAACACTAGTAGCAGCGGCAACATGCAACAGGCCACGGCAAATAGTGCCAATTCCTCCCATAGCAACACCAACAGCAGCAGCAGCTACGCATGTGCAACACTAGCCAACAGCAGCAGCAGCAATTGCAATAACCCAACCAGCAATGCCACGCCAGCAGCAGCAGCAATACACGCCAGCAACATGGGCCAAAACGGCAGCAACTGCAATACCAATTCAAATGCAACGACAGCAGCAACGTCGACGCTTTCGGCCACGCCCAAATTGGAGGCGGTCAATGGCAACACTGCGTTGCCAGTTGCCAAGGAGGGCGAGTTTCCCTGCAAGGTGTGCGGCAAGTAAGATTCCCCCAAAGCAATTTCCATCACAAAAAAAACCGTGAAAATCGTATGAAAATTCGAAAGTCCGCAAGCGATTTGAGTGCCCGTAATTGACTTGAGTTGAGATCGTAAACGCACGCTGTACCGTAAAATAACTTGTGTATCGTATGTCGTATACGAGTTTTTTGGTTAATAGATCTTCAGTTTGATCGTTTTGGAAAAACCTCTTCAGTTGTCATCGTTTGTACCATCTTGAGTTGTCTTATCGCTACCCCTCTCTTTCTACTTCTTTCTATCATTTTTGATTTTTGAGTAGTGGTTACCTCTTGTGAGTCTTTAGTTCCATTCGTATGTAAGTTTCCGACTTCTATGCCATTTAGTTAGAGTTTTCGTCCAGCGATATTAACTGTTGTTATTGTTGTTGTATTGTATTGTTCCATGATGCGAAACCCCAAATATCAAACATCAAAAACAAACCAAAATCAAATAACGAATACAATCAATAAATCGAAATTGCAATTTTAAAGCGAAGAGTCACAACTCGCAAATAGACGTAACCGTAACTGATATCATCTCCACAAGTCCACACGAACAGCTCGCTGGCAAAATGCTCGGTAAGTAGGAGACCTTCGTTTTCCGTTCTCACCTTTCGGTTAATTTCGATATCCCTCTTCCGTTCTCACACTCCATTCACTCGATCTCTGTTCTCTAATTTCGTGTATTATTGTAATTTACCTTCGATAAACTTACTCACAGCGCCAAATGCCTCTGCATTTAAAAACTTTTGTAAATATTTAAAAAGAAAAAACCTTTTCAATCCTTCATATGTATATTGGAATAGCTGGCCTCCGACGTGATCTAAATTTTATGTGGTTTTCAGTCTTTATAAATAAAAAAAAAAAAAGTAAAAAAAAGATTAAAATCCCAATATTAAAGAACAAAAATGCTATGGGAACCCAGAAAAACACCGGAGATTACAAGCCGATACGTCTGTATCATTCAAGCGCACACTCTCAATTCTTCCGTTCTTTCAAAATATATATGTATTTAATCACTAATTTATTTGTTCTTTTTTTGTATTCCTAAACATAAACTCTCTACTTTCCATAGTTAATTGTAACAACAAAGCAAAATTTAACTCCACACAAGGCTAAGTAAGAAGAAGTGAACAGAAATTGACAAGCAGACCAAGCTAAAAGTCTATTTCGTATCTCTGCATGAACCTTTACCAGCTATTTCTTCGCATGTGCTATCTCAATATGTACTCTATGTGCTTCATTTAATCTAAATGTCCATGTAATCCGCCTAGTCTGCATTCTAGTTGGTAGTGATCGAAACCAAGACTCCAGACCTATGTGTTCTCATGGTGCCCCGCTCTATTCTGCTCTTTTCTTCCGCCAGGGTCTTCAATAAGGTGAAGAGTCGCAGTGCGCACATGAAGACGCACCGCGTCCAGGACTCAGATCAAAAACACCAGCTGAATCACCAGGCTGGAACAGGATTGACCACCGTCGCCTCATCAACCATCACCGCCCCGTCGTAGGGACCGCTACCCAAAACGATCGATGGGGAACGACAAGGATAAGGATATGGAATCAATAGGGCGATCATACCTATATAGCAAACACACAAAATCGATTGACAATCGCATTAAGCAAGCAGCAAGCATTGTTTACCACTGTTAGAATTTATGCTTAGACGAATTTGAGTCTAAAAATCAATGTCACGTGTACGTAGTAGTTAAAGGCATTTCTTCACTAGGTCTATCTCTATCCCTACACTTCTCTCTATCAATCACTTCTATCTATCTAACCCTTAAGTAGGAAAACACTGCGACTTGCTCTAGTTTGTAAGTCTAGCCAAAGATTGGTACAAGTTCAAATTGAATTGTTATTGACTATTGTAGGCAAGTGCAATATTTATGTTGAAATAATACGAAAATTCGAATATGTAAATGTATACCTACCGTTTTTTATAGTAGGCGTTTATTCAGCTCGACTCGACTGTAGATGTACTCTATAACTATACTACAACTATGGCTAAAGCTAAGGCGAAATCCCGATCTATGATAAATACTAGTGCATAATTACTGTTAACTACAAGTTTTTCTACTCAAATACTCGTACATAGTTGCAACACACTACACTGATACTTTACTAGGGCGATAAATGTCTAGGACGTAAGAGAATCTCTATATATATACATATATATACTTGATATAATTACATGCCTAGGTCTACGATGTATGCGATATATGATTGTTGTTCTAGTTCTAACGACGCAAGTCAGCAACTCCGAGTAGTTGAAGTTTTACTTAGATTGTACTTACCTACCTACAAACCTAAACTATTGAACTATGGCTTAGAAACCGAAAACCCAGAGAAAATCTAGTGAAATCAAGTGATATTGAGTGAGATCAAAAACGATTTTAGCTAAACGTGAACAAAATTCAATGCACACCAATGTAAATGGAAGTTGAGAAAAGTTTTAACTTTACTTTTAACGCAAAGTTGTAGGTTGTAAGACACTGTAAATATGAGTCTAGCAAATTAACCGATAAGGAAGGATATCTTTCAAATTTCTCCAAAACGCATAAAAGACATTAATCTATTTATAATTCTAGATCCCCTTTGCCCCTGACCGACCCCACGCCCCTCCCAAAGAAAAGAAAACCCAAGAACAGACAACGAGGGTTCGAAGTTCGAGCCCCAGGAAACTCACACACACAGACACTCACAGTGCAGTTTTATATAGGCCTAGGATATACATAGTTATTATATACAAGCATATATTAAATTAAATGGTACAACAGTAAATCTGCCAGTAATTTGAACAACAACAAGAATCACACGTTTTCCATTTGGACAGTGAGCTAATGTACCACAACAAATTGATCAATTGATTCAACGTTTTTGAGGCCCCTGCCGGGTGGTACGAGTATGTTATTGACAATGGCGTAACTTAATCTAGTTTAATGTAAACCAATACATGCAGGGCTAAAACCAAAACCAAACGAAGTACTCACGTTTAGTCTAATACCTTCCGACCCTTTCCACTCGCCTCACCCCGCAGATCCGGATCCGCAGAAATTTGGAAGATGGGAACTATGAGCGATTCTTATGGTTGTATTTGCCAGCTGTGTGCGTGACCTTTTCTCATCGTACAACACAGAACACTACGAATCAGGTGCTGTAAATACAGAAACAGAGAGAGATATACCAATCACCCCGACATAGAAGTCTTAACAATCCGCTGTTCCATTTCCTCGGCCTTGTGTTCGCAATAGCATTAGTAATCATAAATAGTCATAGATTTAGTTGACGGACAACATAATTCTTGCATATTTTCGGTGTTATATACAATAAGCGTAAGCAGATATACATTAAAAACAAATACAGCTACAGCAGCCCACCATAAAGCACCTTCAGTAACTGTTTGTTGTGGGCCTTCAAAGCCGTTTAAAGACTTTCTCGCGTACAAATACAAACCGAACACCTATTACCATCCTTCCATCTGTAGTGGTCATCCTTTGTTGTGTGCATTTTCTCTACATTTTCTTCCGCTTCCGTTTCCATTTCCGTTTCCGCCTGATTTCGTCCAACTATACTGTTCAATTGAATTCTGTTCTATGCTCAAATGCCTTCAAGCGTATATAAGTCTTAAGTATTATTAAATAAAGTATCCACAAATGAGTGTTTATCCTTAAGTAAGTGTTCAAATCTAGGCTAACGTTAGCTTAAGTTGACATGTGTGTGCACTTTGTTGCTTTTCAAAAAAGTTTCCTAAAGACAAAAAACGGATAAATGTAATGTTAGGCTTCTGCTCGAACGTCTAGTCAAATGCAGTAGTTATATTATGACCTAATTTATTTATATTTCCTTTTAAGTTTTACTTACTGTGCCAAAATGTTTATCGTTTACCAATTAAATGATTTCAACTGTTTCATTTTTCATACGATCGTCTTGCCTTTTTATTTTACTAGATGAACGAATGACGAAAATAGTAAAGGACAATCTGTGACATTCCTATTCGTTTCCATGCGATAATTTCCGAAAGCATCTGCAAGAACTCAGCGTCAGCGGTTCCTCCTCACTCACTTTATTCGAAAACTCTGCGTTGTGATTGTTCATTAAGCGAATGTAAAGATAAACTGTATTTATGCAATACAAATACGTATTTTAGAATAACCTGTATATAGATGGCGGCCCACGCGGCTCCAGCTTCCTCAAAAGCCAAACTAATTCTAGCTCAAACGTCGAATTCACTCGAATCATCAGTATATACAATTTGCATTCCAATTCAAAGACACTATATAGTTGCATGGGGCGTTTACTTCTTCTCAGCAGCTGATTGCAATATTTTGTAAATCGTACAGATACACATACCTACTACCATTAATGTCATACCGAATGTGGGAAAACCGAATATTAAAACTAGCAAACGCAACAGAATTACTTCGAAATACAATACAAAACCTTTTGAAATTGAAAACGATTGATAATAGCTATTAGACATATCAATTTTATTTAAAACGAATTGAGAGATCCATTCAAAAATATATATATATATGTATACATAGTCCGTACACCTCAGTGTACACCAGTGCATTATGCATTCCTGTTAGCGAGTAAGAGGACATTTTAAGCGTCATCGTAGTATTTACAGGATCTTCTGTTAGGCACCTCTTTCGAATCTTTGCTTTCAATTCGAAATCTCAGAGTATTTAGACTGACGAGTAAAAAATCAATACGAAATTATGAGATATTATTCTGGACGTATTCCGTATATCCTTTATTTCTGTGCCAAAACAAGAATCGATCGCGATCTGACCTATAGACGTGATGAGCTGCGACAAACTTTACCGCTCAGTATTATCGAAATGCCCGACGTACGGAAAACCGAAAAATACGGTCGGGCGGCTCGGTCCTGCTATGATTAAGTACCATATACAAAGAACTACACAAATCTACGATGTAAGTTTTAACTGTAATATGCAATGAAAAACTTTTATAAAGAAGCAAACTGTTACTTTATGGCATTTAGTTGAGATGCTGTAACCTCTTGTTGATCGTAAATTGTATGTAGCATGTAATAACAATTTAACTCGCAGACACCTACACACGAATACAGCATAACAAAATATAAATGTATTTATACAGTGCTAATATTAATATTCTGATATGAACGAATATTTTATGGTACATCTATATATGTACATAATAAGAGTAAATGTAAACTTAAATGTTTTCATGGTTGTAAACTGATGATCAAAAATAGATTTAAAGAATTTTACATGCTTTTATTTAAACGCAGAATTACTTCGACCTTGCTTTACACTTTTTGGTACCTAATAATATTTAATACTAACGTCACATATATTGCATTTCTTTCAAACGATAACAGATTTGTCTCCTTCGTTCTACATCATTCATTGTTTTTACCAGACTTACAATCTCACAAACGATGCAATGGATAAGCGAAATATTTTCTGAACATCACACACTTTGATAAGAAATGATCAACGTAAACGATATTTAAAAAAAAAAATCATGAATATTCCCTCCAAATAATTTTTAAAAAATTACGTATTTGCTAAAAGTCAAATCTCTGATAACTGTAATGGATGAGACAGAGGGAGTAATGGTTCTTAGGCATACTGAGATGGGAAAACGAAATCTGTCTATAATGGAGAAATACTGTATTTAGCATGATGTTACCAGTTACATTTAACGTAATTACAATTACAATGATTATTGTGTATTGCATGTGTATGTGAAGTGTATGTAATTACAAGTAAACTCTACAAAAAAAACAAGAAAAAAAACTAAAAAACGATAAAGTGGAAAGAGAAACTATGGCACACATTTGCCATTTAATAGTAGTCAATTCTTCAAAACGCATTAGGCTAAGTGTGAGGACAGCATGATGATATATGGACACTATTTTCTAAACGTATTACAACAATAATTTATGAATTTGTTGGTAATTTTATACATATATATACACAGTTACTTTTGTTAGCTAGCAAAACGACAACGACAACTTAGGTAGCGACGAGGTAGATAAACTTTATGAATGTTGTACCCAAAGCCACGCCCCGGACACCCGCGAGAGCACACTGTACAGGCACAGGCCCGAACCTCACGGCAGGATGGGCTCTGGGCTGTAGATCCTCGAGCCTGTCCTCGCGCATCCTACCAAGCTAGTTAGGTCCGCGTCCCTTGAAACACGATTCTCCTCATAGACACTCTATACACTCCACACTCGACACTCACTGATTACAATCTCTGTTGGATCTGTTGTACTCTGCCATTTTTTGGTGTGATATTCTATTGGTTGTGGCGGTTATTTTTAAGCCGCTTTACACATTGTTGCATTTCTACTAATCGTAACTGGCCTAAACTGGGTCAGAAAAAGACGAAAAAACCAATACGGAAAAAACAAAATATTAATAATTATATATAACTTACTCAATTTCCTGTTGTTGTTTTGGTTGTACATGCGTAATGGTTTTTTAACTCGTTTTGACTAACTGTAACTGATTGCCAAACTTTGTTAACTATTTTAGTCCATACATACGTACATACATACTTTTAGGTTTAAGCACTTGTAATTTAATCGAACATGATTTGAGCAAATTTAATGAAAATGAACTAAACTTACAAAAACACAAAAAGAAAATAAAGTGGTGGTCGTAACTAATCAAAACTGGTTTTAATTATCAACGAAAGTTGTTTGGAATCTTTAACTGGGACATCTATTTTAGCAGACCTACGGCGATAAAACACAGAAAAATTTCTGTTTCTGTTACAAATTCTAACTTTCATCTTTACTATTATTAAAAAATATGCAGCAAATTGAAGTGTCACTTCGAATTAAGTTCGTAATATTTCTAGAAACTTTGATAATGATGTTTTTTCAAAAAACCGTTTTAAAAATGTTATTCGTTATATTTAAAATTAAAAATAATTCATGGAAACTAAAATTCTGATTCAACTTCTTTATAGCTAAAAAAGACACATTGCCAGCACTGAGGACAACAACAGCTGTTGCAACCGCTACAAATCGATAGCTATCGATAGGCCTGCCAAGTAATGTAATCGGACGCTGCCGCTATCGGACGCACTGCAGGACGGGATCAGGATACGGAGACGGATTTGGCGAGGATAACACGCAACGATGAGCCTGCCCAGCGCCAGCAGCCACGCCCACGCTGCTTCGCCCGTCTACAGTAACAGCAACAGCAATAGCAACATCAACAAGTCTAGTGCGGGCAGCAAAAAGTCGTCCTCGAAAAACGATTTGCTACGCTGCGCCGTCGGTCTCTTGCTAAAGCAGAAAAACTACGTGGTAAGTGAGGGATAGGCTCCTGAGAGTATTATAATGCTAAATTCTGACCATCCCCCAGAGCAACGAAAGATTTCGCCGCTCCGACTTTCTGCTGCTGCAAAACAAACAGCAGTTCGCGGTAAACAAAATGCTGGACACGGATTTGCACGGCGGTAACAGCTTCACCTACTCGAATGTCCAGGTGATCACCAACAACCAGCACACAGTGGATCAGCAGTTTGGACGCTTCTCGCAGTACGTGGAGGCCCAGGCGGAGCCGCTGCGTCTGGAGATGAAGCGCTTCTATGGACCCATGTTGTGCCACTTCTATCTGGATCTGCTCAAGGCTCGCGAGCCGCGGGGCGCTGTGGAGTTGCTACGCAAATATGCCCACTTGGTGGCGCCAGTGGATCTGTACGATGCACCACCGCCCACCAAGATCAACGGCTGCTCCACCACGGCGAATGAGTCAACCTTCAATATACGATTCGCCAGGGAAGCCCAGGACACTGGCGACACGGAGCTGGACTACTTTATGCGTCTGGTGCAAATCCTAAGTGGCTATACACGGCTGGAGGCAGCAGAGTTGGACGATACAGTGGCTCACTTTCGCTCCTCCAAGTACGAACTGCATACCACAGCCCAAGTGGTGGAGAGGATATGCGGCTATCTGCAGCGGCGGGGTCATGTTTTGATCATGAATCTGCTTTACACCTGGCTGCATGTCCACATCGTGGAGAACGAACAGCGCGCCTTCAGTGAGGATCACCTGCTTGGCCTGACGGACGACCTGGAGGACGAGGAGGCAGAGGAGGAAGTGGTTTCCAAAGCAACAGCAAATACCCGCGCAGACATCAAGCCAGGAAAATCTTTGACCGAGAAGTCCAATCGAAAACGACCCGCTGAGGAGCCAAACATCAAGCTAGAAACAGACATCAAGCAGGAGATCGATGCGGATGAATCTGTGGAGCCCAACAAATCACAACTGAATATTGACGCCTGCTTGGACACCCTCAAATCAGCCACCGAACAGATACTCAAGGCCCAGGTGGAGCTGCCGCGATTTCTGCGAATCAGCGAACGTTCCCGGGGTCTCACCTCCGCCCACCTGGATCCCAGTGAGTGCCACATGCTAGCCGGGTTCGACAACTCTGCCGTGCAGCTGTGGCAGCTTAACCAAAGCAGCTGCCGCGGCAGAAGCTTCTACAGACGCTACCCGCAGTCGAAGTGCCCCTGGGAGCTGAACAATTGCGTGAATGAGGAGGAGGAGACTGACGGGGAGGACAGCAGTGAGGAGGATGTGAAGTGCTCGGAAGAGGAGCGAAGGGAACGCAACAGGGCGCGACATTGCAAATATGCTGATAACTCATAGTAAGTTAATTTAGGATTCGCAAACTGAAGAAAACCCTTATCAAATTCTCCTTTTCTAGCAACGAATACGGCGGACTGCAGCTACGAGGTCACACGAGAGGAGTCACCGACGTACGCTTCTCCGCCCACTACCCACTTATGTACAGCGTGTCCAAGGACGCCACCATGCGGTGCTGGCGAGCGCACAATCTGCACTGCGCCGCCATATACAGAAGTCACAACTACCCGATCTGGTGCCTGGACGAGAGCCCAGTGGGCCAATACGTGGTCACGGGCTCCAAGGATCTGAGTGCGCGCCTCTGGTCGCTGGAGAAGGAACATGCGCTCATCATTTATGCCGGACATACGCAGGACGTTGAGGTGCGTTAAATGGAGCTACTAATATCTTTTCATTCCTTGGGTTCAATTATTTATCTTTATAAATGTTTCTTTCCACAGTGCGTTGCCTTCCATCCGAATGGCAACTACATAGCCACCGGTTCGGCAGATCACTCAGTGCGCCTGTGGTGTGCAACCAGCGGGAAACTGATGCGCGTTTTCGCAGACTGTCGTCAGGCGGTGACCAAGTTGGCCTTCAGCCCAGATGGAAAGATGTTGGCCGCTGCCGGGGAGGAGACCAAGGTGCGGATCTTTGACCTGGCCGCCGGAGCCCAGCTGGCTGAGCTCAAGGATCACTCGGCGAGCATTAGTTCTCTTTCCTGGAGCACGCACAATCGGCATCTGGCCACAGCATGCACCGATGGAAGCCTGCGATTGTGGGACATCAAGAAACTCTCGCCCATGGGGTAAGTTATTAAGAGGAATAAAATTTAACATTTATTTATTGATTCTTATTTATTCCACAGCGACAACAGCAGTGCTGGAAGCTCTTCTTCAGCTACAACGAATCGTGTGCTAACTCTCAATAGTTCCTGCCAGCGTTTGGTCGATGTTTTTTACGGGCGCAGCAAGACGCTTTACTGCATCGGCACCTGAATTAAACGGATGGCACTGCGGGCCGAATGAATTTTCACTTTATGATGGTTTATGTTTGAAAATAATTTATTTGTAATAAGTCTGTATAATATTACTGTTACTATCGTGTGAAACAACTCGTTTGCCTGTCTTTACCATTCTCTATATATACTTAATTTTCCCTCTCTAACAATCCGTGATGTCTTCAAACAAGAGTGATCTTTGATAGCTTCGTGGTTTTGTTTCCGTTAGCTTACTAGTGGAATAAAACGATTTTGAATACAGTGTAATGCCTTTACCTGCATCGCTTACTGGTAACAGCTAAAGAAGCTTTTGAAAATGCGGATATGACATACGTAGATTTAATGACTTATTTTATAAAAGATAAAAAATGTGTAAATATTAAAAATAAGACGAGTATTAGCATTCAGAATAATCGCATTTCAATATTTGTTTTTACTTAAAAGACTAGTATAATAACGAAAATGATGGTGCAGTAAATGTAATTTTTTCTTAATAAAATAAGAACATTTCACCCAAAAATCCAAAGATTTGCGTAACTAAATTCAACTAAAAATAAATATAGAAACTTTTGAATGGAAGTAATTAGCGATGCACTTAAAGACATTTAACTGTACTCCAATAATTTAGGTATTTCGATATAGGATTGGGTTTACATTTATATACAATTGATTTGCTTGGAACCTCTATGATTTTGGACATTCGCACAGCCCTCTGGGACAAAGAACATTGAACTTAGCTTAAAAGTATAGTTGGAGTGATCAGCAGTCTTCTGATCTTAAGTTACATGCACTAGATCAATCGAACAGTAATCAACCTGAAAATAATCATATTTTATAACTCATTTATCTGAGCTTGTTGGCGACCCAGCGGGAGGCAACGTATATCTTATCTTATTCGATTTCAATCGTTATCCGGTTGGCTTACACTTAGTTACTAGTACGGTATAATGAATGTGGGGGCAGAACATGAATAAATAATAAATAGCATGCGTGTGGAACGCATGTAGACAGCAGCAGTCGACTTCCGCGGCGCACTGGGTAACAAAAGGTCAAGTATCACAGTGACTCGTTTTACAGAACCGAAAGTCTGCCAATTTAGTTTGGAGCTAATCCTACTGTGAACGCCTTATAGATCAAGGTAGCTGCTACTGCTGCTGCTGCTTAAGTTGTCGCTGAACAAATTGAGTATAATTTTGTAGCTTTAACGCGTAAACACTTTTATCGTTTGTGACCACGGCGCATGAACTGCAAGGTCTTGGCCATTAATGGTGCCTTCTTGGATCGCCCTGGACCAGCACCTGTGGGTTAAAGATATAATAAATATGTGAATATCAAACTTTAATAAATTTAGCATGTTAGTGGGGAACTAAAACAAATAACTATTTTATGTAGGTTAATTTATTCATGATAGGTTAGATGAGCAAGTCGGTGAAATGCATAAAGATTGTTAGTGAGATTATTTGAGGTTATTCTTGCGGGTAAACAGCTTAAGGAATCTTCTTCTCCTACAGCTTGACTATCATCTCTTCAACTCACCCACTTGGGCCGTGTCGCGGGTGGCGGCCAGCACACGCAGCCGGGCATCGCCCACCTTGGCGGCATTTGGAGTCACGCTGGACAAGGCGGCCACCCGGGCGGCTGGAGTGGCAATGAGCTTGCCCTTGGTGCCATATTGCTCCTGCTTGCGCTGCACACTGCGCGGCGGCTTGACCATCGAGTCCACAAAGGCCAGTTGAGTCTTGCGCACAGGTGCCTCGCTGATCTTCTGCGAAGCCTTGATGCTCTCGGCCAGGATGCTGAGTTTGCGATCCTTCTCCTCTTGGCAGCGCTGGAAGGAAAATAGTATGTGGGCTTAGATGGGGGATTATCTGAGGGATACTGCGATCCCTACCAGGAACATCTCGCGCCACGTTTCCATCTCCTCGCGCCGCTGACTGCGACAATGGCGGCTGACATGCAGCTGCCACAGAACATCGCTGTCGTCCATTAAATACGGATTGTATTCCTCGAAGTTAAGCAGCTGCTGCGGTGTAGCGCGTTCCAAGACAGGACGAAGGACCTCAAAGGGTACGCCACCCGTGTACTCGAGAGCTGAAAAGGGAAAACAAAATGTTATTAAAAGGTAAAGCCATGAAACTTATACATTTACAACTTTTAATAGCAGGATTTAACATTTATTAGACCATCTTAATCTTATCTTATCTGCTGTGCTTACCATCAATGTTCTTTTGAAGCACACGCGTGCACAGATCGAAGAGCGAGGGAACCTGCAGGATTTGACCAGTTCTGACGCCTGAATAGATCTTGGTGCTAGATAAAAAAAACTCTGTTATATACTTTCTCTAAAATCATTTAAGATCTTTACACACCGCATAGTTTTGGAGGAGATGCCTTGGGCTAGGGCTTCCGACTCATTAAAGTAACGCGATGCTTGGGCCTTCTGTGAGCCGCCCTGATTGAAGACCACATCCATCACGGTCTGATTCAACGGCAAAGGCTTGTAGTTGTTCGAAATGGTGGGCAGTTCCAGAGCAATGTTTGGGTCCAAGGGTTCCAGCTTGGCTGTGGATGCTAACAGCTCGGGTTTCTAAAAGGTTATTATATGTTACTCAGACTGTTTATATTTATAGTTCCTAGTAATTACTTTGGTGGAGGTCGGTCGACTGCTGGTGGGGAAGGCTTCCCTGGATGTTCCAGCCGCTGAGGGAGTTGATACAGAGGATTGAGCTGATGGCGGCTTGGAGGGGAACTTGCTCTTGCTGCTGCTGCCGCTGCCCTTCTTGCTGCTCATGGGCATGTTGAGCAGGCCAAGAACATCGTCGAAGTTGGCGCCCATGCTGGAATCGAAACCATCGGCGGAGTCCTCCTCGGATTTCGATTTGGTTTTTGGTATCTTGGCCTTTTGCACATCCTCTTCGGCGCGTTGGGGACTGTGGGATCGCTTGGATGACTTGGAGGAGGATGACTTGTGTTTGCTCGACTTGTCTTTGGCTGGTTTCGGCTCGCCGTGCGAAGACTTGTCCTGAAAGGTAACCTATGAAATATTTCCATTTGCTTTTATCTAGACAAAGGCTTACCTTTTCGTGCTTGCTTTTGCTGTGCTCGCTCTTGTGGAGCTCCGATCTGCTGCTCTTGTGACTGCTGCTGCTGCTGGATTTGCTGGAATCCTTTGATTTGTGCTCGCCATTCGACTTCTTCTCCCTGTGCTCCTTGACCTCCTTGTGACCTTCCTTTTCCTTATCCCTGGACTTGTCGTGGCGACTGCTCTTGTGCTTCCTATCCGAATCTGACTTGCTCTTGGAGTGATGACTTTTGCTGCTGCTACTCCTGTCGTGCTTGGAGCTCTTGGCATGATGCTTCGACTTGTGCCCGCTGCTGTGCAAATCCTCGCCGCTGGACGAGTTGCTGCCCTTGTTCTCCTGGTCGGGATCCTCGTCGCTGGACTTGGACTTGCCCGAGTCCTCTTCGTTGTGGGAGCTGGCTGTTGGTGTGGCGGCGATTGGAGGCTCCTCCTCGGCGGCCACCATGGCCTTCCACTTGGACACCAGCGTCTTGGCCGCCACGCCCACCTCCCCGTTGAACTTGCGCAGGGCATTCACCGTCTTGCCAATTCCGGTTTCCTGCAGGTGCTCGAATTTGATGGGCAGGTTGAACAGCTTGGTGATGCAGTGCAGCAGCTGTTTTGGTTTCGGATTGCGAGAGCAGGTAGAGAAAGAGGTGATTAAGAGGGATTAGCAAGAGAACGTGAGGGTGGAAGGTCAGCGGAAAAGAAGAGCAAGTTAAAGTCTAGAAAAGTGACCTTGGTTGCGGAGTGTCTGAATGCAAATTTCACAAGGTTAAGCAAGGGAAAAGCAGGGCAGGTAATGCATGTGTAGGTGTATTGTTGGTAAATGTGAGGTTGCGGGGTGAGGGGGTGTTTTTGAGTAATAGGAGTAATAGGCAGGGGAGGAATCTGGATAAGCCGGAGGAGGATGAGGTTGCGGACGATGGATGGGTAGCTCACCCGCTGTTCGTCCTCGCCGTGCTTCTCAATGCTGCGCTGGTAGTGGCGCACCACGTCCACCAGGTTGCTGGTGGAGGCCATCAAGTCGTCTTTAGGTTTTCCACACGAAACGAATAAATAAAAAATGGCACGCAGGCAGCAGACTTTGTCGACTTTTCCAGTTTACTTTCCGTTTCTTTTTTGTGCTGGAAAAACCAGGTAAACACACGCACACACGGGCAGACACACGCACAGGCACACGCGCACACACACGCGGAAAAGCCTCCTGACGCGAGGCTATCGTTTTTCAGTTATTTTCACTCGCATTACTGATTCTATCAACAATTTATTGGCCTTTTCTTTTTCTTTTGCCAGCGATGAAACTAAATGAGATTTGCTTTTGACGGCGTGGCGCTTGACAACACTGGGCGAACAGCTGACAGCCAGAGTTGCCAACGTGGCACAGTAGGCCTATGAATATAAATGTTTTGAAAGTTCAACGGCGGCAAAACAAATATTTAACATATTTATTTCATATATTCAATAAAATTTAATTGGTAACAAAACTAATTTAAACCGTTATTTGCTTGCGATAATTTCCATCGCGGTTCCGATTTGCCATAATCGTTATCGCCTATCGATTGTCCTTGCAGCAGATGATTTCAATTTGGCGTCTTTTTGGTTTTTTAATCCGGATTTGGCGCGTCTATTTATAAGAACCAAGGATAACAATACAGTATTTTTGAGTGCCCAAGATGTCCGACGACGACTGCGATATATTCAGTGCTGCTCGCAAGCGGGTTCCCGTGAAAGGTAAGCTTAAAGGTCAAGAAAACCAGGCTTAACATACGGTACGTTCTTTGCCAGCTTTACCAAAGGAATCCTACAATCCTGGCAATGATTCGTTCTCCAAGGAGGTGGACTACGATTTCATAGATGTCAGCCCCAAGAAAACAAGTAGAAACGGCAAACGGAAGCCCCCAGCAGCGCCGCAGGAAAAGCCCCAGAAAAGTGAGGATGGTCCCTCGCCTCCAAAACAGAATAAAGTAAAGCCTGCTGAGAAGGAAAAGGTCGAAGAGGATAAGGGCTCGGAAAGATGCCTGTCCCCCGTGTCCAAGTTGATCCAGGAGATGGAGCAGAAAAATGCCAAAGAAGTTGAAGTAGGTCCTGTGGCCAGACGAACTCGCTCCTCACTGCCCAATGTGGAAGCCCAGCCTCCAGATGTGGCGTCCAATGTGGAAGTACCCGCCCAGGCGAAGCCCAAGAGAAGGGGCAGAAAAAAGGCAGAACCAACTATGCCGATTGACTTGGAGACGGAAACTGTGTCCGCATCTGTTGTATCCTCACTGCAAAGCATTGTGGCCGTAAGTGGAAGTTTTTCCAGGGGTAACCCTAGGTATTTATATACCTCTTACTTTCTAGAGCTTTGGAGACCGGAACAACAGCATACGCCGGACAATGGCAGAAATTGGTGCCCGTTCCAGGGTGGTGGACAGTATAGATCTGGTATCAGCGGTCGCACCGCGAGTGGAGGGATTTGTAAGTCCTCGCATAGGAAACCCCCAAGAAAGCCAATAACAAAGTACTTTCTCAGATAAATCTGGACTCTGAAGATGAAGTTGAAGCCCCTGCTCCCGTAGAAGAGGCAAGCATCTTTGATAATGATAATCCCACCATAGAAGTAGCGCTCTCCTGGTAAGTAATTATACAACAGAGTTAATGTAATTAATAACCTTAATAAACTTTTGCAGGCTCGGCGAGATCCAGATTTACAAACTGCGGCAGCACCAAAAGTTCAAACATTTCTTCAAGAAAGTCGCAGAACGCAATTCAGTAGATGAGAATGATATTTCCGTTGATATGTACTACAAGTTCATAGGACCCGATGATACGCCTCATAGCATTGGTCTCAAATCCTTTCATACACTTAGTAGGTCTCCTATATTCATAATTTCATTTTTTTTTCTAAAAAAAATAAACTATTTTCAGGTGGCCATGCAACAAAGTCTAATAATAATAACAATAAGAAGACTGCCAAGGACGACAACAATCCAGAAGCTCTAAGCAGGAAACCCAAAAAGTTTCAAGTGAAAGTCCAGGCTGATAAATGGAAGCAACCTATGGTGATGCCAATGAAGAAAAAAGATACGTTCAAAATGTTGTACATCAAGTGTGCTGAGGAGTTGAACTGTGATGCCCGCCACATTAAATTATTGTAAGTATTGCCAGCCATCAGACGTAAAAACCATTTATGAAATTCCCTCACAGTTTTGATGGTGAACTTTTGGATCCGGAGGATACGCCCAAAAACCAAGATATGGAAGGCAATGAACTAATTGATCTACAAATTAAGACCTAATAGTTGTTTTTAGTTATATTTTTCATTACTTTCTTCTTGCTGTGCAAGTTTTGAAATTTAAATTATTTGAATATCAAAATGTTCTTTGTATAAATGCATTAAATGTAGTCACTCAAACTTGTATATTTCTCTAAGCAATTATTGTAATTTTGTTCGAGAATATTGTCGATTTGGTTAGATTTGTCTAGCGCAATAAGGATATATTTTTATTTATTTCGTTATACTATGTACTAAAACTCACAAAATTATATTAAACTCATATGAAGATTAGTTGGTTTTGCGAGAATGAGAATTATTGGAATTTATTTTGAAATTCAAGTGTATTTGAACTTCGACTAGCCAAGTGCGATTTGTCACCAAGTAGAGCAGCGGGCAACTTCCAAAAACCCTCAAGCATTCATTATACACCCCTAATATTTTGTTTATCTAGCATATAGCGCACTCACACAGAGCTAGAAACAGATCCCAAATGGTTGTTTATATTGACAGGACGAGAGCGGATGCTGCTGTGGAGTTTTCCCATTTGCGGGGGGTGGTTTTGGGTGGCTGAGAGAGTGGGGGGTGGGTGCAATAGTTGCCTCCTTCCACCGGCTTTCCTCTGCTCTCTCTCGCTCTCTCTCCTTTCCACTCGCCGCTCTCTTTTGCCTTATCCTTGTGCAGTTTCCCTTGGAATTTCACTGCACAAATTCTGACACAGCAGGATAACAATCTCTCTCTGCTGAGAGAAAATAGAGAGTGGAAAGCTCTGGTGGGAAAAGCTCTCGCCATCTTAAGGGAATTTCCTCGACTCGCTTGGCTTTCAATCAGAAAGAGTTTATCCTTCGTGCTTGATGGACGTATTTTATTCGCGCTTCTTCTATATACCAAAGAAAAACCAAAAAGTCATTTTCAATCGCATGAAACTCTTTGTTATTGAACTCGGTTTGTTTTCCCATTTGTTTAACCTCGATTTCGCCGCTCGTTGTGTGTTTGTGACGAAAGGAAAACCCAAGTGAAACGAAAACCAACTCAAATTACATGCAGTACCAAAGTGCTTCTCTATTTGGCGCCTAAAAACGGAAGGATACTCTTGGCCTATGGCTTAAATCATCAGCTCTAGGTAAAACCCAGCTCCTACTCGTGTTGTTTGTATAGCCGCTTTGTATAGAGATCCCCGGAGTCCTCGGAGGCATTTGTTCACTCCATCCCAGCCAAACCATCTATCCATCCGCTGGCATTGACAGTGACGACTGACTCTGACAAATGTGTTTGTCATGTTTACCTTGTGGCTTAAACAAGTTAATTGCCGTGCGCCAGACACAAAAACCAACAGCACACATGAACAGCCTACTCCTTCCGGCTCTACATGTGTCCATCAATTATTCAGCCTGATTGTGGGCATTAAATATTGAAGCTATGTCCTGCTTATGAGCTGGAAGATCGCACCGAACAGAGCTGTCCCATCGTATGTAACCCTCGGCCTGGTGCTAAAAATAAAACGTGACACCTGCAAAAATCCTGTGTCCAGTGCGTACAGCCAGCCACCCCACAAGTAGCCACCCAGCCTAATGGCCTTGGGCCGGACTGCCTGGCTGCCTGGCTGGCTGGCTTCGAATGGGACTCTGAGGGCTCTCGATTCAGCAGTGATTGCTTCAGTCAGCAATCGAATGTGCACCTCCCCACCCTTCTCCACCCACTGGCACTCGCAGCGTCCACCCATCCGAATGACCTTCAATTTGCCTTGCATATGGTCGAAATTAATAATGCCAGACTCACCTAAAAGCTTTTCACAAAAGCTGCACAAATGCAGCTGCGTAAAAAGGTGGCTGATAAGCAGCGGGGGAAAATAAGCCAAAGGGGCCGGGGCGGTCATAAAAAATCCGCTGGCCATTTTTATTTATATTTAGCACCGTGCGACAGACCGGAAGTAACGTAAAACGTAACAAACGACACATTGGGGCACAATTTGCACACGTGTCGCATACGCAACACTCACACACGTTCACCTGGCTGGCTATTTTTGGCTGCAGTGTCCTTTTGGCCAGGATATGTACACAGTATGTCCTAGAGTTGTCCCTGGCCGCTCCTTTTTCGGCTGCTTTGTATGCAACGGGCGCAACAAGCCAAAAAAAAGAAATCACAAAACAAACTGACGCCATTTTGCCATTAATCCCGACCACTTTATGGCCAGGCCAACAAGCAAACTTGCCCCTTTCCGGTATACCCTTTGATTTTGGGGTGCTTTGGCAACTTTTGGAGGTCTAACTTTAATTGGGATTAAAAAAATCTGAATGAGGAATGACATTATATGTAAATTATATTGTTATTATATTGTTATTATCTCATCGTTATTACTAATAATAAGTTATTTCAAGTAAATATTTATTGATTAGTTTTTTATAAAGTCATTAATTATTCACATGTCGCTTCCCACTCATAATCTCCAATGCTTATTAATATGGTATCCTTTGAAAGCCGTAATCACTTAATATAAATAGTGTATGCATAATAAGTATATTTAGTTACCCTTATCATTTGCTTTTACCGTTCAACAAAGAAAGGTCGTGCCCTTTTGCTATGATTAAACAAGTTTTTAATACAATTTACCCCTGATTGGAGACAAATTAAATGGGCCATGTAATGAAACCACTTTTAGAAATAGCTTGGAAAAGTTTTATAGTTCAATATAGTTCAGTAATGGCTAAAGTTTAACTCTCATCATATCTTTTCGCCCTGCGAAAACACACTAGATAATATTATTTAGGGTATTGCAAAAATCGCTGATATTTTTCCTTCGGCTTACATGTGTATTTCTTTGTTTGCTCTATTCATTTGGACTCTTTTGCCCTTTGTTTTTCGTCCTTTGTGCTTTACTTTGTTGCGCCATGTTTATTTTTGAGTTGGCCCAGCCCCCCGGAATGGAGAATTTGCTAATGGTAGAAGCGTTTGTGGGCAGCGCTGGTTGCAAGTGCTTCAAATGGCTGAAAGGTTTATGGCCCGTCCAGTTCCCGGTTCGCAGTTCCCATTTACCAGCTCGTAGTCCGCCCTTCCTATAGTTCTTTATTACGTTGTGTGTTTTACCAACAGCAAACACAATTGCCCAGCCCCGCCTCGACTTTTGTTTCAAGTGCCGCCCCATCAAATGGAGTGGCCATCACTCGGGCTCCGGCTCCGGATCCGGCTCCAGATCCGCATTCGCATCCGCGTATTCCCTGCTCGATTTAACTGGGTCTAGTGCTGGGTCCTAATCCTCAGACCTCTTGTACGAAAGCTACACTCGGAGAACAAATTTATAGAGTAAACCTACAATATTATTGAGAGTTTGAATAAAATATACTTTTTCTTTTAAATCCAAAGCTTAGTTTTGGAGCATTTTATAAATTTATTTTTATTATAAATAAATTGAATTCCTTGTTGCTGTGTTTTATTTACAGTGTAATGTTTTTGAGTAACCGCAGGCTTTACTTTTCTAATTGTGGTTACCTTTTGAGTCTCAGATGAACCTTCACAACACAAACATTTTTGTTTTTTTAAGTCCAAGTTATAATTAAAATTTTAGTAAAGTAAATTGTTATTTGTATAGAATTAATTAAAGTGAGATTTGCAAAGTTTAAGTAAAGTTTTGACAATTGAAACATTTTTTTTCTGAGTGTACTCGTGCATTGAACTGCTGTGGCACACCTCTTCGATATTTTCGCACTGGGAGACCGATGGAAAGTCCCTGACCAGGCGGCTCCTTCGGCTGCTTTCTGCCGACGGAGGTGGATGTGGATGCCTCTTGCAATTACTGTCGACTAGGCAGCCAGGCAACCAGGCAACCTAAGTCACCCAAAGCACCCGCCCGCCTCTGGGACAGCTCACATTTGATGTGCATTTGCATTCGTGGCCCTAAGGCTATCGAATGCTTTTTAGCCCACGACATTGTCATTGTTGCAGCTCGCCTTTTCCTTTTTCTTCTATTTATTACTCCTTTTTTGCCGGGCCACAAAGGACACTGGAGTGCAGGGCAGTGGGGGATTGGGGGAGTGGTGGAGTGCTGGGGCTTTTATTAAAGTTTCGTTTTGTTTGTGCCTGGCGTAGCAACAATGTCCTGGCAGCGACACCCGCCCACAAGTGGCGACATCAGTTGCAGGCTCCATTTTCTACCCCTCCTCTTCCTCCATCTGCCCCACTTTATGCACCGGAAGTTGCAGTCTAACAATAAGTCGAAGAATGCTGGCAACATTTCAAATATATATCTGGGTTCCTACCTATTTCTTATTAATTTTTGTGCAGCCAAGTGGAGTGCAGAACGAGAAATCCTCTGAAATAGATTCTTTTCTTTTGTCTGGCATGTTCCTAAAAGTATTTACAAATACCCACTCATTGTTTTGCTTGCCTGACATAGATAGCTTTCAATAAAGTGCATTAAAGATGCTCCATTTAAGAGATTGTAATAATATTTAGAGGACTTTTTACCAGAAATTTATTTATAAATACCAATCTTAAAATATCTCTTTCCTTTTTTATATTTACCAGCAGAAGGACATTAACACCAGGAACTGGACCAATTTTGAACCGAATACCAAAACCGAAATCAAACACAACAATCAACTCTACTCACCGACCTTTCTAGTCTTCTACATACCCGTTTACACTCAAAACGAATCTTTTGTACCGACCACTTTTTGGACAAACATATCGCTAGTGAAGGAGGACCAGTGAAAGAGCAGTGGCTTAATCCCCGATCCATCCGCCCAATCCTGCCCCTCCAAGCCGGGATTAGTCGTAACCCAACCCAAAACCCAGAGAACCGGACCGTGCCCAGTGGCAAAAAAATCCAAGACGGCGCCACTTAAACCGCAAGCCTACAAAATTGGCCGAATGTTATGTTGTGGCTTCTGCTGTGGCAACATGTCGAAGCGGGATTACAAAGTGGCCACCACCGATGGCATCGAGCTGGAGCCCTTGGGCGGCGAAAAGTGCGAGAAGGATAAGGACAAGGACAAGGAGAAGCAGACGAATGGCGTCACTTTCGGTAAGTCTCCCTAAAATACACCTCAACCCTAACCAAATGCAATTGCAATTGCCTGGGGAGCCCAAAACAAAAAAACGTGCATAATTGCACTTGTGCATAATCCGACGCTTCACGCAATTTAAACTCCTCTTGCCTGCCAATTTCGGGTTTTCTCGTTCGCCCCTCTGGGATTTATGCATCAAGTTGTTTTCTTAATTACACCCCGAATGCAAAACAAAGGCATTAAAAATGCCACGTCTTGCAGCCGTTACTCATACGCCTCGTTGGCCAGAGGCAAAGTAAATGAATGTCAGCAGCATCCAACCCTCATTTCCAGTGCCAGTGCTCTCCCATTCTCACCATTTTCCCAGATATTTTTGCATTTCCTTAGCGCCAGCAGCCGGCAGCCAAGTTGGCGGAATTTTCCGCCCTGACAGATGTCCAACGGATCCGGCGGGCTGCTCCAAACTGGAGGCAAGGAGACCACTGAAAGGTAGACAGCTTGGCGGGGGGCACAAATGTAGACGAGTGCTCTTTAAGCTGTCGCCGATTTTCTGAAATTTTACGCTCGCCCGGAGTTTTGCGAAGGCGGGTGAATTGATCCCCTGGGGCCATCGATTGTGGTAATGGCACTTCAATAACGAATTTGTCTGGGAAATCAATTTGGATTTCAGAGGGGAGCAAAGAGTTGCGAAAGCTATATGATTTATCTTCAAAGCGACATTAAAAAGACATTAAATAGTGCTTAAAAATAAAACAATCTTGGATAATAGGTCCATATAAATTAAAAAATTGGTACAAAATAATACGAATCAAATACTTACAAATAAGAGTAGGATATTTTAGACTAATTCTTAATTATCCCATATTTACCGCACACATATCCCTATCCCTATTTGAGGTTGTCATCAATATCGTGAGTAGAGTTAAATACAAACATATGCAAATCGTGTTGACTTTATCAAGGCGACAAATCGTTCCACTTGGGCATGCCGTGGGCCAAAGTGGGCCAGTTGCCTTCGCCTTCGGATGCGACTGCCTTCTCACCCCACAGACATCCCACTTCCAAATCCCACCATCCACTCCCAAGTCTTTCAAATCAGTGTCACGGGAACAGGACGTGGACGTGTGCTGGTGTCCCAACTGCCAGTCGAGCAATTAAGGATGCATAAAGTGGAGTAACCACTTGACTCACGGCTCCCACAGCGGTGTTTACTTTAACGGAATCCAGCTTAACCTCTATTCGGTGGCCACAAAAAGGATTCTTGGCTCTTTGGAGCCATCTGGGGAATGTTATCCCAATTTTAAACGATCTTCAGGTTATGATTTTTAGATATGTAAATAAAATTAATATTTTCAAGTTAATTCTTATTAGTGTAGTGAGATAGATAGTGTTGAAAGAATATGGTTTTTATTTGTTAGGATAGGGTTTACTTTCCCACTTGAAACACTTACAGAACACAGTCCTTTAAAGCAGGTGCAAAAGGCAGCTTGGAAACCTTTTAACCCCAAGCGATTTAAAAGGTTTCTGTCGTGGGGTGTCTTTCGAGGCCGACACCCGTCAAAGGGTTAATGGAGGAACCTCGGCGCAGGCGGCTGATGTTGATAATTGCAGGATGCGTTGTGTTGATTGCAGGCTGAATGGGCTCAAACACACTCAAACACACACAGATGCCGGTACACGAGCACTTGGGCCGGGGCTTGACTCAAATAAAGAAATCCTGCCTATCCTGGACTGCATCAGCGAGATAAAATGGGTCCACAAGAAACAATTGAAGCGGCAAGAGCCTTGCGCTGCATGCCAAAGTGTGGCACCGAGCTTGCACCAAACACCACCCACCTCCCCCTGCCTTTTCCCATATACTCGTATAGGAAAATGTGTGTGGATGAGTGAAAGTAAAGGATACATAGAAATGAAATGTGTTTTTGGGTCAGGCAACTTCAAACTCAACCAGAAAAGTGGAAGCCGGCGGAGCAGGAAGAGGACTTCACAGGAAGACGGAGCGGATGAGGAGTGCGACTGGCAAATGGAAAATGGAAAATGGGAAACTGACAAGCGAGCGAGCCAAGTCAGCCCGTCAAAACGTCGGGGCGAGCAACAATTTATTGTAGCGAAATGGCGCAGGCGAAACACAATTAAATGCAACTACAAAGGACACAAGGATCCCGAATCCCCCCTCCCCCCCTCGGCATTTTCCCACCTCCCACTGGGCGCGTAATTAAATGGAAATGGAAAATATTGCCCGCGGGCCCCTTAAAACACAACACTCGTACTTGTTGAGGCACTTGAAGCCTTGCCAAGCCGCGTGCATTTGGTTTCATTTGTGCTATATAGCATACCCTTGCCCAGAAGGACTTCTATATATAGTCTTGGACTGCAAGGAGCAACGCACACAGGGAGGGCACAAGTTTTCATAAATTTGTAATATTTCTTCCTAAGAATTAAAAGCTGATGAATTTGCTTGAGATAAAAAGTTTAAAACGGTAGAACTGCTGGAGGAAGAGCTGATTTCATTAAAAGCTCAAGAATTCGCGGTTATCTTAAGTACATACATTTAAATAACATTCCTTTAAATATTCCCTTACAACATTTGTTATAATGTTTTATTATTTTTTTGCGAGCTTAAAACCTTATGTTATTAAGCCTAAGAGCATCGACGATTCGTTAAGAAGCTCTCCAATTGGCTTTGCCCCAAGAGAGCTGAGCGCAGCTTAACTCGGTTTCTGCACAATTAGTTCGCCACCATGTTTGATCCGCTTCAGTTGATCCCAATGCCATTCAAATCGATTGCGGTGCAGGCAACCCAACAACCCTTTCCCCAGAACCTCTCATCGAGCCCTTGAGCTCAACTCTTCCGATTTGCATTATTTGCGCCAGCAATGAGTCTGCAAGTGGCCCTCGAACACGGTCTGCCAATTAATTAAATCATGGCAAATGCCTCAAATTGAGTGTGCAAATAAACTGCCGGACCTCAGGTCACCCCCTTGTACTTCTTATCGCTGACCAAGGAATTTACAGACGGGTTTTTAAAAACATTTCAAGTCGGGGGTCAACGACACCTAAAAATTCAAAGCATCTACTTGCAAAGATTATTATGATTTGTTGTCTCCATGCTTCAATGTATAAATGGAAATTACATTTCAGTAGAGGAATGAAAACGCTAGGAAGGTATTCGTAAATAGTTCCAACATAGATAGACCATAGGATTGATTGTTACACATTTTATTTATTTACATAGTTGGCAAATTATTATACAGAACAAAGAAAAGTCTGGGCGAATTAAAATAAATATACAATCATTTTTGTATTACTTAGAATTGCGCCCCCAAATATTGTTACACTGAGGTTTCTTTATCGCAGTTGAAGGCCTGGGCCAATGGGGGCAATGCTAGCCATCGATCGATTACAAATCCATCTATAATGCTACCAGTTCTTTCCATTGCCTGGACGAGCCCCAAAAAAGATAGCTGACGAAGTGACATCGAGGTGAAGCGGGGATGGATTTGGCTGAACCCTGACCCCGGTGCAAAGTAGGCTTCGTGAACCAAATTCGCACAAACGATGGACAATTCTTGTAAAACCAAAATTAATGATTTACTTAGATTTGATGCCGGGCAGGGTGTATTATGGCTCAGAATGTGGTAATCGTCAAACATTTTATCTAGTGTACCATTATGGCTGCACATACTTGATGTAAAGGTCTGAACCATTGGGCCGATGACCATAATTCCAAGTGATGTCATCCTAAATAAGTCATGACTCTCCGGTTTAATGGCAGGATACTCGAATATGTCGTACGGCACTACGATAATATTGTCACGTCTGTAAACCTTACCAGTTTCCTGTACCCATTGGTTCACACGCTTAAGCCGCCTGAACTCATCAAGCTGGTGAATTAATACTTGGTAATCGTCTTCGCCGGAAAAGTCTAGATCCTTGTAGAACTCGTTTGCGAACTCACGGCGATTGACTTTTTCGGGTATGTTTCCAATACTCAGGGTTAATCCATTTAAACTTTCCATAAGAGCCGAAATCTCAGACACCGGCCAGTTTTGTGAGTTTCTTTCGAGTCTTATTTTGATCTGGTGGCGGAGCGCTTCAAAAATCTTCTTGGTCTGTGACTGGTACTGACTCACTTTTTCGGGGCCCAGAACTCGCTCCTCATAAAGAACGTTGGCGGCTATCTGTAGGTAAAGGCGCACGATTTTAACACAACCCTCGACCTTGTCGATGTTGGGAAAACTTAGTGCGTCCCTAAACATCTTAACATACATCACAGCACTCCTGTCGAAGGATTTAATCCTGTTCAGTGATTCCCAGCTTTTAACATGGACTAATTCGCTTTGCGGAATCGGGTGACCGTATATGTATTCTATGTGTTCACTCAAGGACTGTCCAAGTTTTTGCTCCAGCTGCTGCAGAGTTGTGGTTTCTTCTGGAGTATAAGAAGCCCTATACATATTACTCTTCGCCAAACAAATATTGTAGAGCCGCTGCATCTTCCCCTCGAGGCTTCCGGCTTCAAAGACCTTATCTCTCAATTCGTCGAATAGCTTTTGGAACGTTGGAGTTAATGATGGGATCGTATCTATCTTTAAATTCCTCGCTGCATAATTTCGAAAGTCCTGGCAGGGCTGGACACTTTCATCCATCTGATTAATCATTTTGTTGATGATTACCTCATTGGGATCGACTTTGGCGACTCTAGCACTTTCAGCCAAAACTACAGCACTGATAAGCAGGAGGAAGCTAGTCCACAAAATAGATCTGTTCTCGGCCATTGCTACTAATAAACTAAATAGTCAGTCAGAGAGATAAGTCCGAAGTAGTGGTTTTTGGAAGGGAGACCCAAATACATCAAAACTTAGGCTCAGCTTATCAATTTAGCAACACGAAATACGCCCATGTCCAATGTTTTAAAAGAAATCAAGTACCAACTACAACGCAAATAAGAAAAACACTTTAGAGATTAAGCTCAGCTTATCAACTTAGCAATTTAAAAATTAAATTATAAATGGAA